CGTTCCTGGATGTTCCATTGTGGGTGGGTTCCCAGGGCCCTCACCTCCAGGCCCTACGGCCTCTTGTGCCCACAGAAGACTCAGGCCATTCCCACACCGTTTCAGGGGGTTGTGGCCGGCAGTGCCTCTGTCTCCTGAGCAGTCCTGTGACCGCTGAGCCCCACTGGCCCCTCACGCCAGACTTGTCATGCGCTCTCCAAAACACAAAATGAGAACATCCGCAGTGGAAGTGGAATGTGAGGCTCTGAGCAGGTGCAGAGGAAGTACGTGGGGGCGGGCAGCTTGCCCTGCCCACCCGTCTCTGGGTCCCCACCAGGCCAGAGGAGCTGTAGTTGTGATTTCCTTCAGCCGCCACTGGGCCGAGGTGTCTCAGGCCTCTGGCCTCTGGGTCTCAGATGTCTCAGGCCTCTGGGTAGCGTGAATGACTGCTAGAGGTCTCGGCTGTGACCAGTCTTCATCCTTTCCTGCTTGTGGGGCTCTTCCCAATGCCCTGCAGCTGTCACACAGCTGGGCTCTACCATCTGGTGGGATTGCCTTGAGAGAGAGAATAAATGAATGAATGTGATGTGTGTGTGACTGTGGATGTGAGAGTGTGTGAGTGTGAATGTATGGGTGTGTGGTGTATGATATGTGAGTGGCGAATGGTATATGACTATGATGTGTGAGTGTGTGGGTGTGAAGTGTGTGTTGTGTGTAACATTGTGAGGAGTGGTGTGGTATGTGTGATATCTTAGTGTGTGAAGGTATGATGTGTGGTGTAATGTGTATGTGGTATGTGGTGTGTGAATATGTGATGTGAGGCTGAGTGTGTGAATGTGTGTTTTATGACATGTGAATGTGTGTTGTGTGAGTGTGTGAATGTGTTGTTGTGAGTGTGTGAATGTGTGGTGCGTGAGTGTGAACACATTATGTGTGCGAATAGTGTGTCTATGAAGATGAGTGTTGGCTGCATTGTGGCTGGGCCTGCCAGGCAGTGCTGGGGATGTGTGGGATGAGAGTGATGGGGAGAGATTTTCACAACACGTGTGGCCCAAATAAAACCCTTAGAAACATCACATTGGGTTGTTAGAGCAAGAATTAGGGGTCCGAGGCCTGCCAGGTGGGAAGTGGATGTTTGGAGTCTGAGATCTAGGCCTGACCAGTCTCTGCCTTCGGGTGTTGCCCCAGGGTCTTGGGGGTTGGGCCGCAAGGGAAGGCTGCCCCCCGGCTAACTTGCCAAGGGGGAAAAGTTTACTGTCCTTATTGTCTTCTCCCTCTGCTTTTCCTTGTCTAAAATTCTCCTTTCTGACTCACAGGGCTGCTGTCTGGCCCTGGTGCTCCCGCTCCCAGGAGAAGGTCTGATAAGCTGAAGCACACTGACAGGGAGGGGGCTCGATGGCTGACGGCCTCTGGAGCCAATGCTTGACCGGAAGGGCTGAACCAAGTGGAAAAACTTCAGGGCCCAATGACAGGCAGGTGGAGGAAATAATGCCAGATCTACCGGGAACTGTTGTAAGTCTTTTAGGTAAATTCGTTTACTCTCCATAATCACTTAGGTTTTATTATCCTCCCTATGTTACAGATGGGATAAGAAGAGTGTTTCTCATAAGGTTGTTGTGAGGATTGCATGAGATCAGCATTACAGGGGCTTAGCACGGTGCCCGGAACATAGCATGAGGGCAGTGGAGACTGGCCGTGCTCATTAGGGCGGAGGCCATCCTTATGGGTTCTGCTCAGTTACTGCATCACCCTACTTTGACCCCCATGTGGCCAGGCTCCAAAGGGCCATCTCCTGGGCCTTCCTGGACTGAGGGTAGAGATCCTCCACTGGCACCTCCCATGACTCAACACTGCTCTCCCCAAAGAAAGACCATGAGAATCCCCCTGCCTGCTGGATTCACCAGGAAGCCCACCCAGGTAGAGGCACCTGGCTCAGGCATGTTGCGGTTTGCTCTTTCCAAGAACTTGGACCACAGGCTCGCCTGTCCAGGACGAGCCGCTCTGCAGGAATGGGGCTTTGGGAAGGTTAACCTGCACAGTAAGCCTGCTCATGACTTTCTGCTACAAGAAATGGTAGAATTTTGGTGAGGAAGACTTCATTCCTGAATATGGTCATATTCCTGTTGGTATTCTAAAGTTAGAACCCAAATATGTGGGAATTTTGGATGAATTTTAATGTGATTTATCAGCAAAAATCTAGATTTTGGAATAGTCACCTCCACACATTTATTTATTTTTATTTATTTATTTATATTTATATATATATTTTTTTTAAAGATTGACACCTGAGCTAACAACTGTTGCCAATCTTTTTTTTTTTTTTTTCTGCTTTATCTCCCCAACCCCACCCCGTACATAGTTGTATATCTTAGTTGCAGGTCCTTCTAGTTGTGGGACGTGGGACGCTGCCTCAACATGGCCTGACGAGCGGTGCCATGTCCGCGCTCAGGGTCCGAACCCTGGGCTGCTGCAGCAGAGCGCGCGAACTTAACCACTCAGCCACGGAGCCGGCCCCCAAACCTCCACATATTTAAACAAAGACTTTTGGGTCTAGTGAGGGAGAACTAGCTGCCCATTTCTTTATCAGCCTTAGGAGAGCCTCACCAAGCCTCCAAAGCTGCTTGAATCTTACAGCTTGACTGTCTTCCTTCCCTCCCCTTCCTGTGTTAGCTCCCTGGCCAGCTGGGGGCCATGGTCTCAGTCTCACACCTTCTCTCTCATTGTGCCCTCTGTCTACCTAGATATGTAGTCTTTCTGAGATGATCTCTCATTGCTTTTATTGCACAGACTTCCTAATAGAGTTCATTATTTCCGAGAAGCGTGGCAGGGGGTGAATTCTACTTGTTTCTCAGCCTTGGGGACCAGCTTCACAGACCGTATCCCAGTCAGCTCCTCTCTGCTGTCTACTGTTCTTAGGAGAGATGTCCTGAGTCTTGGGAAAGTCTTGGGCAAATGACATATACATATGCCTTGGCTTTACAAACCAAAATCAACTGCCATAAACAGACTCTAAGCTGCTACTGGGCCTTAGTAAGGTGCGGTCATTATTACATATGGATTTTTAAAAAGAAAAAAAATCAAGATAATTCAAGAACTTGAGGAAGATTTTTTTGTCATCAGAAATATTTGAGTAGATCTCTGAATGGTTGTTGGACACTGATCATTGCTGATCAGTTTATCGACATCAACCCTATAGATGATTGTCAGTATTGGGCTGAAAAATGTCCCTCCAAAATTCACGTCCATCTGGAACCTCAGAATATGACCTTATTTAGAAACAGGAACCTTGCGGATCTAATTTGTTAAGATGAGGTCAAACTGGTTTGGGCTGAGTCCTAAATCCAATGACTGGTGTCCTTATAGGAAGGTTACGTAAGGACACAGAGCCACACGGGAAGAACACCGTGCGATGACGGAGGCCGAGATTGGACAGATGCAGCTACAAGCCAAGGAACGCCAAGGATTGCTGGCTGCCATGTGAAGCGAGGAGAGAGGCACGAACAGACCCTCCCCTCAGAGAGTCCGGAAGGAACCAGCCCTGTGACACCTTGATTTCAGACTTCTAACCTCCAGGACTGTGAGAGAATAAATCACCGTTGTTTTAAGCCATCGAGTTTGCGGTACTTTGGTACAGCAGCCCTAGAAAATTAATACATTCCCCAAACTGGTGACTTTTTAACTTGTCGGAAATCCCACCTCAGCTATAGACCGACTTCCTTCTTCACACAGGGGCACCTCCGTCCTCCTGCTGCAGGACGAGCAAGTGGACTCTGGGCAGGACATTCGTATACTTGCTATCACCTGCTGACAGTATCAGGTGAGAATAATGTGAGATCATCTGGGGCTTTAGCGACGTTTGGTGACATTTCTTGATTCTAGGGACCGGCATAGGCTGCACAAGCTCAGGACTCGCTTGCAGGTTGTTGACATTAATACAGAAGCTGCATCTCAGTCCTGCCCCAGGCGTGACCCTTTGGTGGGTTAGGGAGCAGCTTCCGGGGGTAAAACAGTGATACATTCTGACACCTTGTGGTTCTGGTTCTTCTGGAATAATTTGCTATCATTCCAGGAAAAGCTAGACACTCATCCCCGTTACAGAAAACAAAGAAGCAGACATTGCTGATGACCACCTCCTCTGGCCGGGGAGGAGGCCAAGGCTCTAACCCAGGTCAGGGCCCGGGGATCGGGACTGGGCACTGCAGTTGGTGGGGCTGGAGGGGAGACCGAGGGGGGCTGAAGTCTGTGTCCTGCCGGGGGCAGGCCTGGGAAGCACGCAGCATCCATTGGAAGCATTGTGTTCAAGGCCTGGGCAGAAGCAAACGTTCGGCCCGAAACCAGCACATCAGGCAGGATGGACTGGGAAGAGCGCTCTCCCGGGGAGAACTCTCCGCTCACAGGTCCTGAGGAGGAGTCTAGGGGCGGGGTGGGGGCCTATAGGATATGACGAGGTTTAGTGCCAGAACCTAGGAGTGGCCTTAGCAGACAAGGGGATCCTTTACCTAATCACTGTCCCCCAAGAGACTTTGGGTCAACTATTCTAAAACCTAATTTATTATTTAACTAGCTTCTAGTTGATATTCCTATGGAGGGAAGTTACTCATTTGGTTACTTGAGTTTTCATTAAAGCCTCTTGATCTTGGAGGACACCCCAGGAAGGTATGAGATTCAAGGGCATGTATTCCATGAATGCCTTACCATTTTTTTTTTTTTTAATGCCTAAGAAGAGCACTGGTTGTACTTGCTTTCAGTTCATTCCGCTATAAATAGTCTTAATTTTGTCCTGTGACACAGAGCTTTGGGGTCTTGACCATTGCAGTAGCCCCCAAACTATTCTTTTATTGAAGATCATCTTGGTCCCACTTGTAAGCAGTCTCCTAGCCCCCTCAGCCCAGCGCTGGAGGCGGCAGAAACTTTAGTTTAGACACATCCTGGGGTGCCTGAAAATGGGACCAAAGCAAAATGCTCTGAAAGTGTTGTCTGGGAAACAGAAGGTATGGGGGACAAATGCAGTCCAAGCCTCCTTGGTGGCAATCACGGTCTTTAATTATCAATTAAGTCACTTTTTTGATTTGTTAGCAAGTGCCAGCTCACAGGTGCTGGTTGAAGTACAGAGCTCAGAGGGAGAAAGACGTTAAACCTTAGCTCTCTGAAGATCAGTCCCTCCCTGGCACCGTCAAACATGCTCTTTTCTTCCCTTCTGTTCAGAACTCTTCCAAAGCTGGGGTTATGAGTGTCTGACTATTGTCTTATCCTCTCATGTCCATGTGAGTGACAGAAAGGGGAAGGGCTGTCTTCCCTGAGGTGGGGTTTGTGAAATACCAGTCTCCATTTACACATTTCTCTTCCTCCTCCTCCTTATTCTGGAACTATACCTCCACCACGAAAGCAGGGACTTTTCTAGAGAGATTCTTGGCCAAGATGACAGGAGATGCCAAGCCTAGTTTTGACACTAGTGTATCTCACTTGGCGCCCTTGAGCAAACCTCTTCACCTCTCAGAATCTCAATTTTCTCACTTGTAAAATGGTAAGAATGTGTGTTCATGACTTGTTGTGTATATGCCGTGTTACGTGATCCCTAAGGCCTTAGGACTCCAGACATTTTATGGTTTCTCCCAGTATGGGCAGAGGTGTGTATGCTTGATGAGGATTTCAGGTTGCAGAGAGTTTAAACACACTGAGAGGAGATGTGGCTCCCAAAGATTCAGTGATGTTTACAGAAAGGCCGCTGGTTGGGTTTGAGGCCTCTCTGTCCCTGTGTCTAGCAGAATGCCTCAATTCTAGTGAGTATTCAAATATGTATCTTTAACGAAGGAAAGAAGAGAGGATGGAAGGGAGGGTGGATGGAGAGATGGAGGGATGGAGTGGAGGGGAGCATCCCATTGGCATCCCATAGTAAGAGTGAAGAGAAGCCCTGAATGGCTCTCCTTTCTGAAATTATCTCCCTACCCCCCACCCCCTCCCAGCCCCGGTGTCTCTTCTTTCTGAGAGGCCCCTCTAAGATCTTAATTCCTCTTCCACACCTTGGGTTCTCTCATTAGAAATAAGCTGCAGGTGGGAACTCCTCACGTCATCTCACCCCCAACAGGAACAACGAGGCCAGGCTTGGATGCCGCTGAGGAGGGACCAGCACACCTCTGAGGACAGGTAGCAAAAGCCTAAGTGGAGTATGAGTGCAGGCAGCAGAGCCCCCCGGAGCTGAGGGCCCCGAGGATCAACGTGATTCTGAAGGTGATTGTCATGGGCGAAGGGAGGAGGCAGCAGGTGCTCTGCCTAGGCCTTGCTGGGGCTGTCCTGGATGTTAGCAGCCATGTTGTTGGCCTGGAGCAGGAAGGCAGTGTAGGCCATGTCAGCTTCCTCCTTGGAGGACTAAGGGGACAACAGGAAAGGAGTCAGTGTTTAGGGCATTGGCTCAGCAGGTGGGAGTCGGAGGGAGGGGATGCAGTAAATACCCTGAATGCATAATCTTGGCCCAAGCAACCCAAGCCTGTGTTGACCCACTGTTTTTCCAGCCCCCATGCTCACCAGCAGGGACTAATTTTGAGAAACGGAAAGTTGCAGCTCCTAAAAATATCCCCTTCTGTCTCACTACCTCCTTCTGACCCGTGGAGTGGAACACCTCTGTTGCCTGGGCCTGTCCCCGGAAGCTCTGCCCACACAGTCCACGGCTAGGCTAGGCCTGTGTCAGCCACAGTGGGTTGTGTTTTTCTTTCTCCACCAGCCCAGAGGTGTTGCTTTTTGTGTTGCTTTTCAGCAACACAAGGCTGGAGAGGAAAGCTGTCTCCAGGACTAACTTGTTCCCCTAATTGCTCCCAATGCTGGGCTCTCTGCTGCTGCGAGGGAGAGTGGACAGGACAACCAGCATTGGCGCCTTGGGATTTGGGGGGCACAAGGGGAGGGTCACAGGACTCCAAAGGCAGGAGTCACTTCTGGTAGGATTTCAAGTAACGTGGCACTTGGCTGGGATGGGGATGGGCTTCTAATGACTATCAAATTGCCCACCACCACCTGCAAATGTCCTCCCAGCCCAGGCAAATGGCTGGTACCCAGCAAGACCCTCAAGGGAGGGTGGCTGACCTGAAGTCCACGGGTCCCACAGCCCAGGAAGAGCCCACACCAAATTGCCAGCGCCTGACATTTGACCTTCCCACCTTGGGGCTGAATCTTCTAGGCACTGGCCTTCCCTACCCGCCAGTCTCTTGCACTCCTGCTTGAGGCTCAGCACCTGCCTCTGCCCCAACCACAGCAACGCCACAGCCAGTAAGATGCGTCTTGCCCTCAGGAAGTTCTCTGGAACACTATTTAAGCTACCTTCCCTATTCTGACATCAGCCCCTACTTTGCGGTAGTTTTTTCCGACGTCTAACTGCAGTCCCACGCACTACATTTCCTTGTCACACGAGTGGGGCCTCAGCCTCCCACCTCACCCTCACCCTTTTCGCCTTCTTGGGTTCTTCGGTCTCCACGGTGTTCTCGGTGGTGGCAATGAACTCTATGTGAAGAGAGGGGATGGATTAGCCCTCACTAGCCTCATATTCCCACCCAGGTGCAGTGTCAGGTCTAATTGTTGCTCTCCCGGGAATTGGGCATTCCTCTGAGTGAGGGACGTACCATCTTTTCCTCCGAGAGTTGTCTCCTGAGAGACTGGAGAGGCTCCCATGTTGTCGTTGGCTCCAAAGTCCCTGGAGTTCTCAAAGTCCGACATGCTAATGTCTGTCCTGTAGCTTCTAATCGAAATCCGGTCTGCGGGGGAGAAAGGAGCAGGTGCAGGGTGGGGGCTGCGTGCACGAGCACGGGCCGTGCTGCTCCTCTCTGAGGGAGCCCGCAGGGCAGCTGAAGGGGGTCAGGGTCTCTGACCACCACCCAAAGCAGAATGCAAATGACCCTGGTCTCTTCCTCCTTAGACAGTCCTGCCCTTTTCACGGATAACCGAGACAACAATCCCTGACCGTTGTCGCTCAGAGCCTTTCAATGCACAGTACCTTGCTTTGTCCTCACAGCCCTTTGAGGTGGCTATTTATTATGATTCCTGTCTTGAGCAGTAAGCAAACTGAGGCGTGAAATGGGGACATGCTGAAGTCACACAGCTGATTAGCTCTCACACTAGGCCAGCAGCGCAAGGGTCTGGGCATCCTGCTCGCCTCTTCCTGGCAGCCCTGCCTCTGAACTGAGACCCTGAGCAATGGGAGATGGCCTTCCAGAAATAACATTTGGACAGCATCACTTCATGTGAGTTTTGGGCACGTGTGGCTTTACTTCCCCCCCCCCCCCACTCTCCCAGAACCTGTTCCTAGAGACTATAAGAGACTGTGGTGGTGGCATGCCCCCACCAAGGACAGCTAAGTCAGGCTGAGGGCTCAGGGTTGGAGGTGGGGCAGGAAGCACCTAGAGACTCACCTACATTCTTCCTGTGCCGGGCTCTTAGCACCCCCACCACGAGGACCCCCAGCGCCAGCACCAGGGCCAGGGGTACCAGGGTGGAGACCACCACTTTGGAGCTCCCGCCTTGTCCTGCAGAGCTGGAATAAGGATTCAGTTAGTTAGTTACCGAAAGGAGAACCTGGGAGTCCCAAGATATGCTGGCAGGTTGGCTGTGGCTAGTTCTTTCTCCCGGATTGATCGACTCCCTCCTCCTGATACAGCCCCTTGCTCTGTTCTTCTGAGAAGCCTTCCCAGACATGGCAAAGGCAAGGACAGAGCCTTTTCTGCATCCCAGGCCGGGGAGAATGGTAAACTGCACCCCAGCCACAGGAGAAGGGCAGAGCTCATCGGCCCCTCGCGAGGCAGTGAGGGCTGCCCCTGCTATCAACGAGCGGACAGGCTCTCCACCTTGGTCCCGGTGACCCAGCCTCAGGTCCTTGGCCTCTGGGATGTTCTCTGAGTGAGAAGTCCCGAATCCTTCCTCACCTGCCGGGGTCTGCAGATGCTATGCTCCCACCAGCTGCATCTTCAGGATCCTTCTCTTGCGTGTCCACAGAAAGCCTGGGATCCTGAACGACTTCGCTCTCAACCTTCCTGACACTTGTCTCTATCTCATCCTCAGCAGCAGCAGCACGCACTGAGCTGAGAGCTCCAGACCCTGGAGAGAGCAAAGCGGGGCTGGATCATGGTACTGTCTCTGTTGTTTTCCCCCCTTGAGGTTAGGGAGTCTGAGGAATGGGACTTCATTAGGAATCCCAGGGTCAGGGTGAGATCTGAAGGCTGTTAGGGTAGGGTTCAGGATGACACTAGATGTAGTGGAGGGATGGTCTTCTCTAGCTTGTCACAGATGATCTCTGTCCTATTAACACCAAGTTCGTTTCCATCTACAAGGCTCCGTGTCATCGATCCACCTGTGCATAAGGGCTAACCCATCATTTGGGAATAGGAAGAGTTTTCACAGCCTTGAAACCCTGCCCGAGGCCTCCTGAGGGCAGAGCTGGGTGCAATAGTGCTGCCCTCTGGTGGTAGCTTGGTGATGGGCCCCAAGTGAGCCAGAGCCGCTGGACCCACAGACCAGGGGATTTCTAGAGGGACTGAAAATATCCTCGATAGGAGTAAAACATTTCATGTGACATTTTAAAAAGAGGCTTAAAATGCAAACTTACTAGAAGAGGTGGCCTAAATTTTCTTTGTCAGTCCTTGTACATGAAGGTCTCTGGCCCTCTTCTGAGAGCAGGCTTTGGCGGGGGGTACTGCGTGTGATAGTGACTTTGAAATTTCTGTGTGTGGAAGAGCTCTGAAAATGGTCTGAAGGAGCATCCAGGGAGGGGACTTGTCTTGAAGCTGAGGTTAAATAACAAACCCATCTTTTTTTCTTGGAGGGCTTTTTGGAGGGCTAAATGAGACTATATGGGGGCTAAATCTCCCCCAGCATCTTACAGCCAAACCTCGGGGCCACCCGTGGTGAAGAAGCTGTTAGGCAAGAGTCTTCCTCTGGGGTTGGGGGCGGGGGGGGGGCACAGGCTTTGCCCTTGGAGACTCACCTGTTCCCTTCTCCTTGACCGCCACATAGACAGCCACGGTCTCTCTGTATTGAAGGCCCTCCTTCACCCCGCACCAATACCAGCCCTCGTCCCCCTTGGTGACTTGCTTCAGGGTCAGGTTGATGAGCTGGCTGTTTTGGTCGCAGTTCACGACGGCCTGGCCGGAGCCCTCGTCTTGGCTGGGCAGGGCACTGCAGCCTTGGTCGGTCCACTTGCACCAGAATTTCTTGTAGGAGTAGAATTTGCACGGTGAGTGGCAAGTGAGCTGGACAGTCTCTCCCAGCTCAACATTCACAGTCTTGGGCACCTTGAGGTTAGGTTGTCCTGGAGCAGGGAGGGAGGGAGAAATAGGCACAGAAGCTGTCATTGGTGATGCTGCAGGGAAGTGACTGGTGGGGACCTGTATCCACAGCCTGATTCCTCTACGGATGACGTTGTAAGTCCATGCCTTACAGTATACGAAATACTTAAGAAATGTAATTATGTGCCCACGTGGTAATTATTATTGATGACCACTATGAATCAGTCCAGTCTAGCATAGAACATGGAACCTTGACATTGACTTCAGTTTGCTTTCCTTGCTCCTCTCTTCTCTTCTAGACTCAATACAAAGAGCTGCACTCTACTTCAGCTGACACAGTACACACTGTAAAAGAGGCCAGTGATCTTGATAATAGGAGGCGCTGTGTGTGGTCGTCTGGAGATTATGGTGTGTGTGCAGGGAACAGGTGTGAAAATGGGACCTCTCGACAGGTGGGCTCTCTCCCGAGGTCTGTCCCATCTGCATGGAGGGCGGTGAGATGGGAGGAAGAGCAGTTGGGGTGATGCTGTGGCTGACTGGAGGGGTCCTGGGGCTGCCTCCCTTCCCTCTCGCCCCATTTGAGCTCTTACCTTCAACAATCTTGAGCTCCACCATGGACCTCCAGTGAATATCACCATTGGTCAGGCACCAGTAGAAGCCGGCGTCCTGGGCAGTGAGCTGGTTGAGTATGACCGTGTAAGTGCCGTTGCCCGGCTCGTCATACAGCACGAGCCTGCCGTTGTACTGTTCGTACTGGTTCTTAACCAGCCCTGTGCTCTGCACCAACGGTGGGCAGCCGCTGTTTTGAATGTCTTCCCAGCGACACCAGGACTTCACGCTGTTTACTTCCTTCGGGTTGTAGGGGCAGAGCACAGCCACAGAGCCTCCAACCACACCTTTCACCACAGAGGGCCTGGAGGGGAACGTGGTCTCTAGAAGCACAGACAGAGATGTGGTGGAAGAATGGACACATGGTCTGAGCGACCTCTTCCCCACGGCCTCACAGGGCAGGGAGGGAGGTTTAGATTAGTCTTAACCTGGTCTTTCTCAGAAAATGATAAAGGACCCACCAGGACCAGACTCCAGGGACCTTCACCACCAGTCTGGGCATCTCATTCCCTTTCCCACCTTATTCTGAGCAGAGACTGGAAGGAGTTTAAGGAGACACCATCAACCCTCCTTTTTGGGCTTCTTACAAAATCTCCCTCTATATAAGTTTCTGGCTGTTTATTAGCTTGCCCCACAAAAATGGCCAGATGGATTTTCTCCAAATTAAGAAAATATATTTAGAACGGTGTGATTTAAAATATAAACTATGTAGCACAGATAAGTTTAATTGCTGAGGACCCTGAGGGCCGTCTCAAAGAGAAGAATGGCCCTTCTCCAAGAAGCCAAAGCCAAGGTTCAGGGAGGACCCTGGATGACTGACAATGCCGGGGAATGTGGTAAGGACCCGGAGCCGCATATAGAAGTGATGCACAGGGAATGTGAGCCCTGCAAGGGCACAAGGGCAGTTACTTTGAACTGCCAGTACTGGTTTGCTGCTTCTCCTGAGGGCAATTCTATGCAGATGCTCCAGGGTGAGAAGGAGCAGGGCTTTAATTATGTCACCACTGTTGATGTCTTAGAGCTGAGCAGGCTAGATCGTGCTGGATAGCAACCTGAATAGATGTTGGAGAGGGGAATTTAGAGGCTGGGACATTGCCTTCCTGGGAAAGCTTTGAGACCAAGATAAGCCAATCCTTCTCCCTTCTGGATGTGAAGGATGAGGTGCCATCCTGCCTAATGGTCAGGGTGAAGGGACAGTCAGCCCCTGTCTCTCAGCCTGGCACTTGGATTCCACCTTAATTCCTCACCGTGGTTCTCTGAAACCACGACAATCTACAAGTCTTGCCTCTATCAGGAGCTTCGCTCGCCTCATTCCTGTTAATCAGGGAAGCCATCAGAAGGCTGTGTGTTCTAGCTCTCCTGTACAACAGCCCGCGCAGCATCCAGTTCAGGGCTTGTCAGTGAGCAGATATTGTCGACCGATGGAGGAATGTTGAATAGATTCACAGGGAGGGAGCGAGGCTCTCACCTGCCAGACTGTCCCACTCCTTCCCTCCCCCCGCCTCAAGTCTCACCTTCATTGACAAAGAGTTGCCAAGCCTGGCTGGGCCGGGATTTCCGAGGCTGACCATCAGAGTTGGCTCCACACAGGTACGGCCCTGCATCCTCCTTCCTCAGGTTGGTGACGTCCACGCTGAAGACGCCATTGTTGTTCTGGGACAGGATCCTGCCCTTAAAGGCCTGATTCCACTGACCCAGAGTGTTGGCGACCAAATTACAGGTTTTCTCTTTATTCTCCTGGCACAGGAATTTGGCCACATTTACCACCTCGGGGCCCAGGGCACAGTCAAATCTCACTGAGCTCCCCAGGTCTGCATAAACCAGCTCCGGCTCAGGCTTCAGCACATGGAGGTCTACGTTGCTCTTATCACCACTGGAATCATCCCCAGCCTGGCAGACATACTTCCCATCATCTTCGACCTGGAGCTGGTCAATGACGAAGAAGAACTCTGTTTGGGTGGTACCCTGAATAATAAGTTTTGCTCTGCCTTCATAGTTGGGTCCCTTGTACCCAGCGGAGTCGATGACTCGGATGCAATGCTTGTCAGCTATCTGCTTGCACACGGACTTCACGTTTGGAAGATTCGCAGAGGTGAAAGGGCAGCTGATGCTCACTTTTCCGCCTAGGTCTTCTGCGTAGACTTGAGTGCCATTTAGGACCCCAGAACCTGCAGGATGAGAGGAGGGGGTCAAGTTGTGATTTCACTTTCTTGCAGCACAGGACTGCTCAGTGTTCCCAGTGAGGAGCCAAGTGTGCCTATCAGCTCCGGCTCAGGTTTCGGCACCTGGAATGTGCACCCCCTCCACTGGGACACTATCAGAATATGTCTTCTAAGGCCCGGCTTTACTGCTGTCTCCTCCGTGAAGCCCTCCTCAAGCAGGCACTAATCTCTCCCTCCTCTGTGCTCTCTTGATATTTACATCTGTATCACTTATTACGTCCAACCTTGTATAGCTGCTTAAGTTCCCTGCAGGCTGGAAGTTCCTTCAGGGCAAAGACATGCTTTCCTCATGTTTGACTCCCCTGCAGGGCCCAGCACAATGCCTAAACATAGTAGGTGCCCAAATTATCGTGCGTTGAAATGAACAGAATGAATATAAGTATAGGGTGGTGGATTTTAGTGTATTGTGACAGAAGTTCCTAAAATTTACAACAATCCGAACATGGAATGGGCTGCATTGTGAAGTAATGAATTTTTCCGTTTAAAGTGTTTAATCAGAGCTCCATACCCGTCGTCTCCAGTGTTCTTCTGGACGTCTAATATAGGGTCAACTCTAAGCTCTCCTCAGCTCTTAAGATTCTTTGATTTTATGAATCTCCATGACCAGTGAAGGAACTCTTTAGTCAGTGCACAGAGAGTACTAGACATATCGCAACGGAGCAAAGCTTCTCTTTGGGAATCCCTCTAAATTTCCTCCCTTAAGACCTCTTTCCCTTCTAATTTCCCTTGATTACCTAAAATGCCCTTGCCATTGAACCCTTGCCAGAAAGATCTTCCCCATTTTTCTCTTTTCTCAATCAGAAGAGGCTTGTTCAGTGGCCCATTCCTTCAGTGCCCTGGTCTTTGGGCAAGAACTGCTCACTTAATTTATGCTGAGAATGTTGATGGACTAATGGGTCCCAGGTAAAAAATGCATTTTAAAACAAACCTTCTGTGACGCAGGTCTTCTTCTTCTTCTTCTTTTTTTTTTTTTTGAGGAAGACTGGCCCTGAGCTAACAGCCGTGCCCATCTTCCTCTACTTTATATGTGGGACACTTATCACAGCATGGCTTGCCAAGCAGTGCCATGTCCACACCTGGGATCCGAACCAGCAAACCCCGGACTGCCAAAGCGGAGTGTGCGAACTTCACCCCTGCGCCACTGGGCTGGCCCCTGTGACTCAGGTCTTGATCTAAAGGGTTCGCTAATGGCAGCAATAAGGATCCCTATGGAGCTCTCCCTGCCTTTTCTACCTCCCTCAGCGCATGGACCTCCTGGCTCGCCTGCAGCAAACAATGAGAGAACTTGTGCCCTGATGCGCTTCTGAGTTAGAGACTTCATAAAACCCTAAAATGTTACAGGCCCTGAAGACCTAGAAAGGTCCACCCGCCACCCCCAAGAAGGTCCCATCCGTCTTGTTCCTGTGTTCTATTATGAAAAGTCTTTGCTTCTTGCCTCTGGAGGGAGGAGGACCCACGGCCTTCCCCCCCTGCGCCAGGACCCTCTTCTCTCTCGGGAAATTCTCCTTCCAGCTCTCCCACTGCACCTGAGATGATTCCCTCTCACTTTTCCACAGAAGCCCAAGGAGCCTGGATCCTTACCCGGAACGACTCTCAGCCTCACATCAAAGGACAGGCCCCGGTTATTGATGCCCACACCACACTTGTAGCTCCCGGAGTCACCCTGGACGAGATGGTCAATGTTCACCACAAACGTGCCACTCTCTGGGAAGTTGGTGAGGTTGGCTCTGCCCTCATAGTCCTTGGACACGTAGCCGTTGGAGGAGATGAGGGTTGTGCACTGGCCCTTGGGCCCCTGCCGGCACCAGTACTTCCGGGAATGTCGGTTGACGGAGGTGGGTGGGTAGTAGCACTTGATGGATGTGGAGGTGCCTTCCACGCTGTCTATCTCCGGGGGACCAAATATGGGGCTCTTCATGGAGACCACTGTGGGGACAGAAGACAGAGGCTTTCTGAGGCTGGGGAAGGTGAAGCCTGCTGAAAGGATCAGACTGCCCACCTAACACACGTGCCTTCTGTGCGATATTTACCATGTACCACAGCTGAACAGGCGCCGCAACTGGATAAACGGATTGACTAATCATTGTTAACTTTTAGTTGTAATTCCTTAATGATAACCACTTTAAGGACAATGGAATGGCAAACTTATTTAATGATATCCCTTGTTTATAAATAAAACCACTTTTGTGGGGTACTATACTTTTGCCGTTGCTGTCTATTTCCTTATATTTCTAAAAACGCTTTGTTAATGATTGTCTTTTTTTCCAGATAAAAATATTGAGAGCTAAGGAGGATAAGGCATTTCCCTAAAACCCCATAGCAACTCATAGAGATGCTTGGTTCAAGGTCAAAGTCCTTTGTTTATTCCCAGTGAAGACCCTTGGCCATGTCTGTTCCTGACCCCCAGCGCTTGCTCACCAATCCATTTCCATGCCTGTCCTTTCTGCATCATCTGTGTGACTCCTGCTCGAGGGAGTACAAGTACTGAGAGGGGCATCCCTGAGCATGGGCCAGATTTCAGCATCCCCAGGGAACTGAGTCCTGGAGAGGGGTGGGCTGGGACCCGGCAGATGTACCTGGGAAGACAGCCAGCAGGCAGGTGAGGAAGAAGAACATCATTGCTGGTGGCTCCCGCGGGGCTCTGCCACCCAGGCCAACTCCTTGCGAGGGATGCTGAAAGACAAGAACAGGGATGAAGCTCCTATGTCTTCCAAGGCTAGTTGACCTTAGAGTTCCTGTAACACCTGCTTGGTTTTGTAGCTCCAGTAACTGACAAAATCCTGTTGAGACAATAAATGGCTCCGCCTTTCCCGTTACAGCTCAAAGTCCCACCATCCGCAGTGCTTTTTGATCCTTAACGGTTACAAGTTGATTTTTCTTCTCAACCAAGCTGCAAGTTCCTTTGGGATATGGACACAGGTGCCATTTCTTCTGTATCCCCGGCCAGCAGGCACGGTCCTGAGCAAGATCCGTAAGATCTCAGGAACAGCTCACTGGACAATGGGTAGCACCAACAAGTGGCCCCTTCTCTCTGTGTCAGCCCTGGGAAGTGGGGGGCTGGCATATTCTATGGTGTGTTCATATGAGTAAACTGAGACCCATAGAGGAGGCCTAGTGAGGATTAAAGCTGTACACGTGACAATTTAGGTCGTAACCACCATCAGTTGCTCTCCTACCATGTTCCAGGCACTGTGTTAAATAATGCACTTGTATTATCTTACTTAAATTCCATATCCTCCTATGAGGTAGGTGTTCTCATCCACATTTTGCGTAGGAGGAAATGAAAGCTTAAATGTTAAGTGTTTTCCTGAAGGTCACCCAGGCATTAAGTGTGTGGGTGGAGGTTGGGGGAGGTGGGCAAGATTTGAACCCAGCTTTGTCTTACTCCCCAAGTCCGAGTTCTCAGCCTCCCCGCCACACTGTCTTGCACCTCAGACACGGCAGCATGCTCAGCCCTGTCCTTATTCCTGTCATCTGTGGAGTCCCCTCTCCTTATCAAAGCCTTGTCGTTTATACCGCTTCGCTGGAGCTTTGTTACTCCCTTTTAATAAGACAGAATGGATATTAGCACAACCATTTTATGGATAAGAAAATCAAAATCTTGAGATGGTGAACAATATGCCCAAGATTTCCCAGAGACTCGGTTATGGGGTCAGGGTTAAAAATGTGGGTGTTATGGCCTTTGTTATGCCACCTGGTGGGGCAGGGCAGATCAAGATGGAGACGCCAAGATAAGGCCACTCAGAGTGTGCCACGCACATGGACCTGGGGAGGGCAGAGGGTCCCTGGGTCCAGCCTTACTGCGGCTGTCTTCAGGTCCCAGACTGCCGCCTAGAGGAGGAGAGAGAAGTCCCCACTTTCCCAGAGACTTTGACAGGCTTTAAACTTTGAGATGGGCTGAACAAGAAGAGGGTTGAAGGAGAAAATGGTGTTAGCAAGAGCAGGGCAGTAATAGGCACCTTACTTCCGGGCCCTGCCCTCGTTCCCAGAGACTCCCTTCCCCAGCTCGAGCCAAAGGCAATAGATCTGTTTATCTTGGTTGTTTCTTTCCTGTGGGGGAATTTCCCAGCAAAGAACCTTTTTGTTTCCTTGTGGAGATAAAGGTATTCTGTTTCTCCAGTTCTCTAGAAGAGTAAGGGGGGCAGGTCAGGGGAGGTGGGGACAGATATGGGTGTCAGGTGGCAGCTGGAGGCTCTCTTGATTCCAGTTAATTCCCCCAGACCTTTCACACCAGGCCAATGATTAGCCTTAGCCAAATGCCAGTGTCAGCCCCAACCTGGACACACTCAGGGGACTCTAGCTGGGGGACCCCTGGAGTATGTGCCGCAGGTCATCTGGGGAGAGGGTTTCAGGTGGGAGCAGGTGTCAGAAGGTGGGAAGTCTGCCTCCTCTGGGATGCTTGGGATGGGCTGGCTGCAGAGTTTCAAAAATCTACCACCTGCCATTTGCACTGGCCTTGGGTGCAGCGGCAGGTGGGAGGACAAAATGCCGTGTGCTTTTAAGAGCCCAAACCAGCAATGGCTCTCCTTGGTTCTAGTTGCTGTTCTTACCTTTAGATAGGCAAGCTTCCTAATATTTCTGTGAGGCAGGCGTGGATCTGCCCGTGGGCTGAGCTGGGGAACGCAGCCTCTGGGTTAGTAAAAGTGATTTACTCTGGGCTACAGAGAGTTAGCTGCCAGGTTTTCCAAAGTGGGGTTCTCGACTTCCTGCCCAGGCTTCCTCTCATTTGTGACATGCTTGGATGGCTGTGAATGTCCACATGGGAGGAGGACACGTGCATGTACCCATTAACCCTTGCACAGCCTCAGGCCCAGGATGAGAGCATCAGGCATGCACAGCTGGAAGGGCAGATCTGGCAAAGGGTGACCTTGGTGAGGAAGCACATGATCTAGTCCCAGGGGAGATGATGGGAGGGCAAGGGCACCCACACCCTCAGGAACAGAAAATCTTTGCCCAAAGCTAAACTTGAAACACAATTTCTCTGGTAGCAGCTGAAAGGGCCCTGGGCTTTGAGAATCATTAGATCTCTTCCTCTCAAAACCAGCCATTCTCCCAAACCCGGGAGACTCAGGTCTCAGGGAGGTCCCAGGTCTGCAGTGGCCAGAGCTGGATTTAAAGAATTTGCTTAAGGAAGGAAGGAAAGAGCATGCCATTTATTGGGCACCTGCTCTGCACCAGATGCTTGGCGAAGGTTTTTTCTTATATGACTTCATCTATCATCACAGCAACTCGAGAGGTAGATATTATCTTCATGTGGCAGACGGGAAATCTAAGGTTAAAGAGATCCTGGCCCCGACACCCACAGCAGAACTGGATCATTACCCTATTTGCACTCTGTGGGTGAGCAGAGGGGCCTGTTCTTTTGGGATATACATATGCTAGTGTATCATAAACACAGGCACCTTTTCTGGTCCTTAAAATAGGAGTTGTTTTACTCACTGGTGAGGCTGGAATGTTCTGGGTCATTCTCATTTTACCAAGTTACTACCATTGACATAGTCATAACATATGTCTACATAATTGTGGATTGGGGCAGGGGTGTAGGCCAGGCTGGAGAATAGAGTTTGTCTCCTTATGAAATTAATCTAGCTAGCTCCCCTTCAGTTAGAGTGACTGATCTTCAGCTATCATGGCTCAGAGTCCAAACCTTTCTGCTCTTAGATTTCCTCCTTTTTCAGAGAGAGAGGGATCTCCTGGTCCAGGTCCTGGCTTGGCTGCTGGTTAACCACATGGCCTTCAGCAACTCTGGGCTCTTCATCTGTCTGGTACACAGCAGAGGGTCAGTCTGGGCTCTTACAGCCCCAGGGGCTTCAAAGGGGATAGAGAGCAGGGGCTATGGGGACCTGAAGCCAAGTTGGCAATTTCAGACAACTCCCTGTGAGCGTAAACAAGTGAAAACAGAAAGCTTGGAGCCAAGAGGAGTGGGGAGCAGCTGGCCTGGCTGAGGAAGGGCTTTCATCAGCCTGGACTGAATGGGCCCCTTCCCCTGCTTCCAGGAGAGCCGTTGCCTGAGGCCATCTGGGACTGCCACTCTCATCTTCCATGGGTGCGAGGGCCGAACACAGATGAGAGCGAGGGTGAAAACCGCAGCTTCGCTAGGGGAGGGAGAGCAGTCTGTGTGTTTGGAAGAGCCTCAGACTTGTAACGACGGGCGGGAGCTGAGGAGAGGTTGCGTCGTTTGTGTAAGCCCCGCGGTGTGAGAGAGTCACCAAGGCAGGGCAGTGCTGAGGGAAGGGAATCGGAACTCTGGAGGGCAGGGAGATGGAGAAATAACAGCCAAGGGGTCTGAAGAATGTACAAACTAGAAAGATCCAAGGCTTTCTGGTCCCATCCCTGTCAAAAGTGTCTTCTATTAATGCAAGACTTAAGCAGAAATTAAGAATTTGAAATACCAGCTCCACAAGGCTCTGGGAATAAGCCTATGGATTTCCAGATGGTCTTTCAACAATGACTTAGAACCCCTGTGATTGACTCCAACCCATCCTACCTTGACATGTAGGTATTTATCTCATCCAGTCTACCGGATGGCAAGCTCCTGGAAGGCAAGGACCAACTGAGATCATTCTCTCCATCCCCACAGTGCCTGGCAAGGACCAGCTCTCAGCAAAGACCGACCAGACTGGGAATGGTTACATCCTCATCCCCTTGCCAAGAAAGGTGAAGTCGGGGCTGATTTCTCTCACTTTGCCAAATGCCTTTTTGTTCTGGGCACTCAAGGGACAGTAGCATGAAGAGTAGCCTGGAGGATGGAAGTGAACCCAGAGGTCCAGAGTCCTGCTTTGTCACAGGCTATCAGGAAAGCTCTACCACTTGGACAAAACATGCTGGCTCATCTCCCCATCTGTATAATGGGCCTTATAGTTCCTGACTCATCTAGATTGAAGGGCTACTGCAGGATGGGAAAATGTGGGGGCAGATAATGGGATAATGTATATGGAAACACTTTAAATAGCATAAAGTGCTCTTCAACTCTAAGAGGCTACAATCACTCTTAAGCACAGGAGGTGGGGGTCCGTGAACTTGGCTTTCATGTTTGCACTGCTCTTGGAGAGTGGCAAGAGCAGGGACCCCTCACTGTGGCTCTCAGCTCTCTCACGGTGGGGGGGCTGTGTGATTTGGGAGCCAGTTATTTAAACTCTTTGAGCCTCAAGTTCCTCAACTGTAAATTGGAGATAATTGTCCAGAGAGTCGCTGTAAGGATTAAATGAAACGACATACATTAAGTCCTTAGTATGGTGTTGGGCTTAAAAAAATGTTAGTTCCTTTCCCATCTCTTCTCTAAAATCAACACAGTCTTCTCTTTTTCTTGTTCTAGAGTGAGAGGAGAATAGAAGTCTGTTTACTGGGCGTCCTTTGAAGACTAGAGGTGAGCTGTCTATGTTGGACCAGCATAGGCTGAAAGAGGAGACACTCACTATGGCCTAGGGTAGAAGTGGGGGATAATAGTTACAGCAAGCACATGTTGAGTTATTTTCAAATGCTTTACATGTGTCAACATTTAATCGTCCCTAGCAGCCAGGGAGGTAGGGTAAAATGTGCAAGCCCATTTCACAGATGAGAAAATTGAGGCACAATTTTGCCTCCTCTGAGGGAGGTAAGAAATTTGCCCAAGGTTACACAGCTGGCAAGTGACCACAACAGGACTGAAATTCAGACCCTCTGGATCAAGAGCGAAGCTCATAGCCGCTAGGCTAGACCGCGGAGGGTCTTGAGGTTGAGAGGAAGCAGTCAGGAGAGGAGGGAGCAGGAAATTCAGTTTTAGAGGAGAAATTAGTCCAGTTCTCTCCTCTCTGCCTTTCACGGGAAAGGTAGTTCCTGTGAAGAGACGCCTGAACCCAGAGGTAGGTGCCAACGGAAATTTCTTCCTGAAAAGTAATAATAGCTGCTATTTATTTAGCACCTACATTGCGAAGGGCACATGATGTTTGTTTCCTGTAACCAGACACCTTGCCTCCAAAGCTTCTTTCTACTCTATGACCCTGTGTCTGTGCCAGTGACTTTGGGACCCCAGCCCATCCAGAGAGAGGGCAAGACACAGATGGGGAAGGGCTCCACTGAGCACACGCATGGATAATGCTACTTTTTTATTTTAAGAGGTGGGTATTCTGTTTTTTAGGTGATGTCAAAATGTCCCCATGACTATATCAAAATGGCTGCACCAAAATGTCATTGTTCGTACTTACTGGGTGACCTTACACCACTCACGTTAACTCACGGAGTCTTCATTTCCTCAACTGTAGAATGGGCTCATGATACCTACCCCGTCTCTACCTTCCAGGTTTGTTCCAGGTGGGAATGAGATGAAGCTGTGAAAGCCCAGGGTAAGTGGATTTACTGCATGGAAGCTGCTACAATGGCACTATTTATAAAATAAAGCCACAGAGGTCTAGATGCGCCAAGAGACAGGCAATGATCACAGACCCAGTTGCTTTCCTGCCTCCTGGTTCAGTACTCTTTCTGGTACATCACTAAACCCGGGGCCAGGGAAGAGGATGGATGGAGAGTTCCAGAGTTGGCTCTGGGCAGACCAGACAGCTGCCTCTACCCTAACTCATGAGTTGGCATATCCTCTCTCCAGATGTTAAGGAGCCTGTAATTCCCCGAGTGAAGGGGGAGAGTGATGATGAAAAACAGTGCAAGCAGCTTGGGTTGAGGAACTGGGGTTGGTGGGGGCTGGAGCCTGCACAGCTGCGGCAGTTATGTCGGAGGGTCCCATGGCAGGCTTGGGGATGCCATCATGATGAGCAAGGGGAGAACACGGAGGGAAGGGAGGCCCATGTCTGAGGCCTCCTGGCTGGAGAGCCAGGAAGAGCATCAGGACTTGGGAATGCTGCCTGTGTTTGGAAGGGGACTCTGCCGCATGTCTCACTTACCCTGGAGGACCTCCTTTTCCCACCAGAGCAAGGACAGGACAAGACGATGGTGCACTATGCTTCAGGGTGGCAGGAGTCTACTGGAGCAAAGAGGGGTTGAAATCGGAAAGGATCTCAGAGCCTCTTTGAAGCCCAGAAAAAGGGCAGCACATGCCGTCAGCAGAAAGCTGGAAGTGGACAGCTTCAAAGACCAGAAGAGAACCTGCTGTGTGTGGGTGTGTGGGCACTTTACATGCCTTATCTCATCCAGTCTGTCTGGGGCTCCATAAGTCCTTGAGTAATTGAACTAAACTGAAAAACAATTGCGATTTTGCTCTGGAGGTTACAAAGCAACTTCACACATATTTTCTCATCTGAACCTCACATCGACCCTGAATGATGGGTGTTATTTATATCCCCATTTTACAGATTAAGAAACTGAGGCTCAGAGAATGATTAGGTGACTGGCCCAAAGTCATACAGTTAAAACTATGGAGGGGCTGGTAAGGAATTCAGGGACCAAACTCGGAGAGGAACTACACACGCTGACCACAGACGTTCCTGCTTCCCACCTGCTGATATTTCGCAGAAAAGTGGGGCGGGGGGCTTCCACACACGTGTCCTTACTCTCCCTCGAGGGCAGACCTCTACTCCCCCACCACACGCTCAGGACACAGGCTTTCGCCCCTGTCCTCCTCACCCACTCTCTGTAGGCCGAGAGTTGTGAATGAGCCACCATCCCTGGGTCCTTCCCAGATGGCATCCCGTCCAGGGATCCCAGAGCAGCCACACTTACTTTTACCACTTCCTTCTCCCCAGTCGACTCGGTTTCGGGGGCACAGCCTGTCAGCCAGACGGCAGCCCCTGCCTTTCTAGAAGTTGCCAGCAGGACACTGGATGCTGCTGCCAAAACCGAAACTGTGTGCAGTGCTGGACCCACACCTGGGCTCTTAAAGGGACACTCTCCCCCAGGCATGGCGGCCAGCCAGGGGCACGTGACTCTCACAGATCCTTTCCTTTCAACTTTCCTAGCTGGCTCCATTTGCTTCCCTTTGACCTTGGGGAGACTCTGTTACTTGGGGATTCTCCATCATTGCAGCTGCAGGATGCAAGACAGAGCATCAAGCCTGAAGAGCCTGTTCTGCCGCTCTCTAGCTGCAAGACCTTAGGCAAGTCACCTTCACATTTCTTTTCATCTGGAAAATAGGGATAGTAATTACCAACCCCACAGGGAGAAGATATAACCAGACATTAGATGTGAAACACATGGCCCGGGGCATAGTATGAAATTGATGTGCATTCGATGGGGCACAGGTGGCAGGGATGGCTCTCAGTCCTTGGTCTCACGTCTCCACTCACTCGGAACATCGCCCCACTCCCTAGGATACTTAGCCTGGATTAAGTCCACTCTTTACTCATCTTTTGCAAAGCGCCTTTTACCAGCTCCAGCGCTTCCAGCCACATGGGGGGCCGTGGCTCTTCCCTTTCATGCCCTGCAGGAATTAAAGACTCTGGCTGCTTCTGGGATCCCCTGAAAATGGCGGACCTTGGAGTCTTGTTGGGAGCTGGGCTTGGCACCACAGCAAAGAGGGCGCTGATCTGCCGAGCCGGGTAGAAATCTCTTTCTCTTAGTTGGTCCTTGGAGCAATCTCTCTCCCTTAGTTGGTCCTTGGAAGTCCCCCGGACACGGCCTGGTTAGGACTCCCAGGCAGTCCCCAAAAGATTTTAGCAGTCCTGCGTCACACGAGTGAAGCCCACTCCCCAGCACACACGCACATCCCCCACCCCCCCACAGCCCCACACAGAAGCCTGCCCCATCCTACCTGCGCGGGGCTGACCAGGCTCTCCCTACAGCGTCCTGCAGGCCAAACCCCAAAGGGGAAGGAGGAAAGGAGAAATAGAACCCTGGAAAAACAGGGCAGTCAGAGCCCTGGTCTTATTTTAGCTAACCACTCACTCGTGGTAGGGTAGCAACCTGGAAACACAGATTTGACAGTATTTTCTATTATGGAGCTTAATTTCAGACCCCAAACCCAAAATCTGACTGACGTAAGGAAAAAATTGCCTAGTCACTTCCAGGCAAACTCGATCCAATTCAGCAATACCTCTGTCACTTCACTCCTTATTTAAAACTCTGTCTCCGTCAGGATTTCCTATCCTTCTTGTCTGCCTTCTCTCCTATGGGGCTTATGTTAGGTGTGGGGTAAGTGGGCCCGTGAGGGGTGGCTTTGCCCGTGATGCTTTGGGAGCACTGGGAAGGAGTGCTCCATTACTTTGGTCTGCTTTGTCATAGTGCTGTGTTGGCCTTGTGCTCCAGAAGGAAGTTGTCCTGTCTTTTAAGATGGAACTCGACTTGCAGTCATTGGGCCTTTATCCCTGTTCATCCGAGAGGTCTGGTCCACTCTGCGCTCTCCTTGTCTCTACTGCTGGGCTCCTTTGGCTAGGACTTCCAGGCCCCCTCGGCCCTTCCTTGCCGTTCCTGTGGGTGCAGGGTAAGTTTGGCCAATCTGTGTCTCTCTGAGCCTTGGGGACATCCTGTGCACAAAGCCTCATTCTCCCCTAGAACCCCTTGTGGGCTTCTGTGCTCGAACATTCCTGTGTAATTGGGGCTGCAATGGATATTGGCAAGACTGCTGGCTACCAAAGTCCTGTATGGGACAAGCCAGCTGCAGCCCCCCTTGGCTCCAGCATCTCCAGACCCTTCTAGATCTCTCTGTCATTATGGATCTCCTCTCCTCGCTTGCAGCCGGGGACTACACCCCATGGTGGTGGGTGGGAGGGCACAAAGATACACCCGCAGCTAAGTGGTCTTTCTTTCCCCTCAGCAATCTTTCTCCTCCCCAGTTCCAGGGTCTGTATCTAGTGGGAGGATATAAGGGGAGGTGGAGATGGTGTGGGGACAGTGAGGGAATAAGCCTGGTTCTGCCAGACTATGGCTTCCTTCAAAGGTTCTCTGTCTTATGCCTTTCTCCTTTAGAAGTGGATCATTAAGATATTTGTAGATTTTGTTTTCTTATTCCTCGTTAACTCACATTCCCCAGAGCAGGGGGTAAATTGCGTCTAGTTGTCTGGGCTGGTAGAGTTCAGGGAGGCCCATCCACGAAACAGCTGCTCTCATGCTTCCCCGGGGCCCCCAGATCTCCTTCCCTGCCCCCTTATTCTATGATGGTGGGATCATGTCCTGGTGTGTGTTCCCAGGAGTCCCCATAACTATCTTAGCAGACTGTGTCAGGCACACACGTGTGTGCATGGGCACACACACGCATGCACACACACACCCCTGAAGCCCACCTGGCCCACTGGTCCAGCTTAGGGAAAGGGGAACATGAGAAGCGGAACCTGGAGAAGAGCCAAGAAGCAGAGTCCTGCATCCTGTTTTGGGCTCAGCCACATGCTAGTGGTGTGATTGGAGTCCCCCAGCTTCCCCTCTCTCACTGTGGTTTCCCCATCTGTAACTCAGCGGCTCTAAAACATCCCAGTCATCAGGAGGGAGGGACTGGCCAAGAGGGCCAACAGCCCAGCTCAATAGTAATGACCATGACAGCAGTAATCGTACCTTCCAAAACTTACGTCACTTCATCTGCTTTAAAAGCTCCCCTTCCCTTTTAAAATAATAACATGAGAAGAAAATAGTGATCAGAAGAACATCTTTTCATTTGATTCCCATGGCTCAGGGACTGGCATGAGTCAGTGTGGGGAAGTGCAGAGCCCTGGTCTGGGGTCAGAACCTCTGTGTCCAGGCTCTGGCTCTGCCTCTAACTGGCTAAGTGACCTTTGCCGAATTGCTTCTTCCTTTAGGGCTGTGGTTTCAACTGTTAAATGGGAGGCTGGGCCAAATGGTTCCCAAGGCTCCTCCGGTTCTAGGATTCTGGGTTCTGGTTGAGTACTGCATTAGTTTCCTGTGGCTGCAGTAACAAATTATCATAACCTTGGTGACTTAAAACAACAAAAATGTATTCTCTCTTAGTTCTGGAGGCCAAAGGTCTGAAGTCAAGGTGTGGACAGGGCCATGCTCCCTCTGGGGGACTCTGTCCCTCACCTCTTCTAGCTTCTGGTGGCTGCTGGCATTCCTTGGCTGGTAGCTCTATCGCCCTAGTCTCTACCCTTGTGTTCATCCTGCCCTCTGTGTGTGTCTCAAATGTTTCTCTGCCTCTCTCTAATAAGGACCCTTGTGATGGCACTTACGGTCCGCCCAGATGATCCAGGAGATCTCCTCATCTCAAGCTTCTGAACTGAATCACACCTGCAAAGACTCTTTTCCCAAATAAGGTAACATTTACAGATTCCAGGGACCAGGGTCGGACACGTCTTTGGGGGGCCATTTTTCAGCCCACCACAAGCATCTACTATGTCCATGACCTGTTTGAGGTTCAGGGAGATGCAAGACGTGCAGGAGTGTTCATCCATGTTCCCCAAGGGCACGCGGTCTGATGGAGGAGTCATTGCCCCCACACACCACTGCCAAGGAGCAACACCAGCTGGGCAGCAGCCAGGATGAAGAGGCAAAGCAGCCTTGTGGACAGCGTATCGGCTCCAGCCCCAGAGCACCCTGGGTTCACGTCCAGCCCCTGCCACTTGCCAGCAAGTGGACCCTTGACAAGTTACTTAATATCTCTGAACCTTAGTTTTCTCATTTATAAAATGGGGCTAATTATCCTCCCCCATAAGTATGTTACAAAGATTAAGTATAATTTGTGCAGTGGCTGGCATCTAACAGCTGCTTATGATTCAGCTTCAAATGAATGGGACAACACAGCCTTTCAGAACAAAGAGTGATTCCCCACTGATCAATGAAGAGCTAAGGGCCCAGAAGTGGAATGACTTGTCCAATTTTGCACAGTGAGGCAATGGCATAGAGGAGTCGAGAACCAAGGTCTCCCAATATCGGGCGTTTCCCTCCAGTTCTCCAAGCTTTCACTCTTCCGACAAATCTTTTGAATTGTGTTTCCACAGGCCGCAAATGACTTCTGTTTGCACCTTTGATTGATTCAGGGATTGGAGAAGACCAAGTACACAAGCACATGCAGGTCCAGCTCTTCAGGTTGGTGGCATTAGCTGATGCTCCAAGGCCCTAGGTTGACCCAGCGCCAATAGAGAAGGGGAGGCCTGAGCCATACAATCCTTCCCCACCTCTCCACTGCCCTTCCAACATTGCTCACTGTGGATGCTTCTTATGAATGTGGCTTTTCCCAGAAGAGTGAGATAGGAGCGGACAGATGAAATGCCTATCACTGCTGTTTACTGCCAGCTCTCTGCTCCCATGTGAAGCTCTTCTGATTAGTCAACATTTAACCCCTGTCTTGAGTCAATGTTTAATCCCAGGCCAGCCAGCCCTAAAATCCAGCATTCCTCGGCCAGCCAATAACATAACAGTCATTTCAGTGTCAACCATTGGAAAATAGAATTGTGACAGTGAATCTACCAAAGCTGGATGGCTAACCCCCTCCCTTTATTTTAAGGATATTGACTGTTTGGGATTATCCATGTCCAAGTAGCCCCAGTGTCACCATTAGCAGATAATGATCTTGTATTTCCTGACCTTAGGTGTCATCCATTGGCCAAGAGCTTTACATCCATTTACTCTTCCTGTTCTAATTTTGCCTTTCGGGCTGGAGAGAGGACATGAGATGGGAACTACTGCCATTGTTGCTCAGCTGAGTGCTGCTGGCTGGCCACATGGTTCCTAGTATGGTCACTGGTTGGAATCCCACTAAGAAAGTGGAGACTGGAATAGTCCAGTAGGCTGGGCTCAGCCAAGCTCTTTGGGAGTTTCTGAGCCCAGACTTGTGTTCAAAGGCCTGAGCCTTTTCCCAGGTGAGTCTCCCTGTTAGCGACAGGTAGGAGGAAAATTAATTCTAAACGCTCCATATTTGCCTGGCTATTGGGCGATTGCACAAGGGATCCCCAGGGCCCTTCTTAAGGAGCTTGGAGATGGCGTCTGTGATCTGGCAGCATCGTGTAAATGCCAGGAACAACCTTAGTTAAGGAAAAGTCAGAGAATGGCCAGCTGATGGGGGCCATGTGGAGGGTGTGAAAGACGGGGAGAGGACTATGACCAGATCAGCAGTTCCAGTCACTGGATGGTGTTGGAGAGGGCGTCTTACTGGCCGAATGTATGTATGTGAGCCTCAAATCTTTTCTTTTTTCTACATGAACACACAGTCACCTCCTTCTCCCTGACTACCTGCTTCCCTGTGTCACTGCACTGATGTCCAATCCCTCACCTGTTTTCCTAGCTCTATTTACTCCCAACCAGAGAGTGAAAACAACATTTCTTCTGGGGCTTCCGGGGTAGAGGGCTGTCTGTTCTCTTTGAGTGGTGGAGGAGCGCAGGCAGGGACTGTGGTGGGAGCCCTAAGACAGGTGCATTTTGCCCTGAGGAGGCTGTCATGGAGAGCAAGTGGTAAAGCCGAATGAGAAAGAGCCTGGAAGTGGAAAGTTGGCCTTGGTCCAAAGGCCCTTAATCCTGCCAGGCCAGTCCCGGGGCCCCAAAGAGCTTTTATTCTCCCATTCTGAGAGGCAGGAACAAATGAGCAAAACTTTCTGAGGTTACCAAACCACTCTCTTGCCTCTCCTACCTCCTTACTCTGGCCAGGGAGGGGCGGAAGGAGGAAGATTTTTGGGATACACATCCAAAGTCAACAGGTGAAGTGTCAGGTGACAGGGCCTAGCCCTTCTCGTGAACCATTGGGGTCCCCCTGAAGACTTGCTGTTTCCTTGTTCCTGGTCTTAGCCTGGCCTTCAGCCCAAGGTTTGCCTGGCTGGCAGCCATTGGAAAAAATCCCCTGCAGCCTGTGCCCATCTGAGCCTCAACATTCCCATCTGTACAACAGTGTACAACCTGCTTCTTTCTGCTGATGTATAGTCTAACTCATTTTCAGTTGTCTGTACCACACAGATGGAAGAGAGTGCTGGCAAAATGAAGAGTTTAGACCAGTTGCATTTAATAACCAGTCTGCCCTTCTTATGCCAGGCTCTAGAGAAGGAGACTCCTGACGCCCTTTTCCTGAACTCTTGTCTGATGTGAAGGGCAACAACTTCAGACACATTGTGGGGCAACTCGGAGAACACCTTTGGTCATGGTAGTCCTGGCTCTCTTCCTCCTATCTGAGGTACTCAGGGTTGGGGAGTCAGGCATTTGCAACATTAGGGAAAGAAGTGGCCTGGTTTGAGCCTCTGTGCTCAGAGAAGAACTGGTAGATCCAGATCGAGGCAGCAAATAAGCGAGGGGGGCGGGGGGGACTGAGCCAGAGGCTGGGAAAGAAGAACACAGAAGGCTCCAGATGCTCTCAGGGAATGTGTGTTTTCAACAAAACGGGAGTAGGGGGCGCCTGGTGGCCTACTGGCCCAGTGCCTCAGTGTTCACGATTTCTACACGCCTCCAGAAGTGTGGCACAGGGTCCTCTCCTGCAGCTGGCACCTCTCTGTTGCCCATCTGGGTTTCAGCTGACCCCTTGCAGAATGGGCCGTGGGGTGACAGCTCCTCCTCTTGCTGATAGCGAAGGGAGCAAGTTGGCCTGGGAGGGTCGGTGCGTGTAAGCCAAGCTACATCACTTAATGCAAAATGGAGAGCTTGGTGATGCTGGACCCTGCATGCGGGGCCACCCACAGAGAGTCTGTCTCCTTTTGTGTTGAGTCTCCATTTTCCATTCAATGTTTGTCAACCCCTTAGCCCTGGAACGTCTATACAAGTGGAAAAGAATCACTAATGGCTAAAGTGTGTTACAGGTCTTTCCATGGAAATGCCTTCCTCTTGTGCCTGACTGAAGCTGTTATTAAACTGGTTTTGCAGTTCCCAGATCACACTGGCTACTAGAGGAGAGGAATAAACCCCCAAAGTCTTAGTGGAGGACAGTGAGAAGTTGGCTGGGGGTCAAGCATTTGCCCTGAGTTACCTGAGATGGATGGACACCCCTGCGGGTAAGTAAGATCTGAACTCTATTTGTACAAATGCCGGTAAGGACCTCAGGGCCAGTGACTGAATTTTTAGCTCTCAGTTCCAGCTCCTTGAACTTTTACACTTCATTTAACCAAAATAGTAATAAGTCAGCTAGTGACTGGAGAGAACAAATTGCTGGAAATGATTATGAAACTTTCTACACATAGGCCTAAAAGAGAAAACAAGGAAGACGTTAGAGTCTTAAACAGCAAAAGACCTGGCCGGATACCCAGGCCATAAATCCAGGCACAGAGGAAGGCAGTGCAGCACGGCCCTGAGATCAAGGAGGTGCGGAGGTGGACCACGTCGCATTCAATTCCTAGCTTGCCCCTTTTCTAGGAGGGTAACCAGTGAATTTCTCTGGTTTCAGTTTTCTCATTTTTAGAGTGGGAATTCTCATACCTACCTCACAGAAATGTTGCAAAAAGTGCCATATGGAATGTGATAACACCTGGGGCAGGCCCTGCTGGGGAGAGGTCCTTTACGAGTAGTTAGTAAGTAGACGAGTGAGAAGTGAAGAATTGCACCCTAACCCGTAGAACATGCTTGATCCTAGGAAAGTCAGGGCCTCCCTGAATCTGGGATCAGAAATCTCCATGGGCGCTTCCCTGATTCCAGCCTCAGGGGTAGAGCGTCTCCCTGCCCCTTGTCCCAGTGATGTAGGCATCGTGCTGGCTAGGGATATAAAACAAAAAGCTAATCACTGACCATACCCAGGGGTGGAGTTGGCCTGCTTTGCCTGTTTTGCCTCTGGCCTTTTAAGTCAGCCGCCCCTGCCCCACTCCAGGATCAGTTAGCCCATAAAGGAGAGCTGTAAACTCTTGGGGCTGTCCCACTTCCTTCTTGGCGAAGGTTTCACTCAGATCTTATCTCTGCATAGCTCCCCTCTCTTGGCCCTGACACTCTGATTGTGGCTCTGCTCTGGCCCCTTGAACTTGGACTGGCTCCTTCCGCTGGTGGACCTCAGCTTTCCCTAAAACACCCTGACTTGACAGCCTTTCCACATCCTGGAAGCTGCCCCTGACTCCAGCCACTTGGCCTACACCCTTGCTGGGCTGGGCCCTGCGTTCCCCCAAGTAAGGGGGGTCAGGCAGGACATCCTAACTGCTAAACCTCAGACAGCCAGTATCACAGGAGTTTGGGGGAAGGGGAGGGCCTGAGAGGGGTGGTGAGGGAAGCTTTTGAGGAAGAGCGGGGTCTGCTCCTTCGCATCAGAGTAGAGACAGAGATCCTTGCGAGGTTTTATGGCTTTGCGCAGGGATTGGCAAATTATGCCTCCGGAGCCAGGTGCCGCCTGCTGCCTGTTTCTGTAAAGAAAGTTTTGTTGGAACACAGCCAAAGTCATTCGTTATTTATTGTCTTGGCCGCTTCTGTGCTACATGGGCAGAACTGAGTAGTTGCGACAGAGGCTGCATGGCCTGCAAAGTCTGAAATATTTGCTCTCTGGCTCTTTACAGAAAAGGTTTGCTGACTCCTAGTTTAATGCATCAAGCCCCAAACAAGGAGTGACCCGAGGAACCCAGTCCTGTGCGACCGCTTCACCAAAATACAAGAGTCCACAATGCCGGGAATCTGCATGATGTCCCCACACCCAGGGCCACTCAGCGTGCACCTTAGCGTATTAAAGTCTCCAAAGGCGCGTGTGCAGGAGAACCTGCTTGCGTCCAAATTGCCTCGCCCGGACTTCTCTCAGCTACCAACCTTCTTTTTCTCAGAATACCGCCTAACAGTCCTGAAAAGCCAGTTATCTGTGGACGCCCCTAGTAAACACCAGTTAGGTGGCACGATCCCACACGGCCCGGGTTCTCCGCCCATCCCTGTCCCTAATGAGCTCAGTGACCTTGGCTGAATTACATCCTTCTGGGGCCTGCTTCCTGCTGGGTGAATGGCATCATGATGGCTGTCCTATCTCTCTTACAGGTTTTCTAGGTAGGTCACTGAGACAGCGTGCATGAAAATGGTCTGGAACACCATTGCGGTTGATTTTTGACGATTAGTTTTGCTTTGATACATTATTTAGCAAGGGTGATGTGGAGAAGGCACTAGATCAAGGATGTGGGTTCCCTTTTCTTGTCCTCACTCTGCTACTACTGACTGGGTTAATTGAGTAACTTTAAACAAGTTACTTCCCCGACGGGGCCTCCGTTACCTTACTAGGCTGAGGGTTAATCTCTAAGGCTCTACTAGCCTGAAATTCTATGATTCCATTTGGTTAGATTCATGCAGCTTTCCTACTTCTCTAAAACAACAGCTCTCTCTGCGAACCATGGAGACGGCATCTCCTCGACTTTCTTGGGACAGTGACCGGGTTCAGCACCGGCTCTGTGGAGGGAGTAACCAAAGGTTTCCGGTGCTGCTGACAGTTGGCAGGCAGGGCCGCGCCTCCTTGGAATGTCTACCCAGCAGTTCTGCACTGCATGTTGGACTTTCTCTCCCTTCTCTTCTGTTGCTCAGAGGCTGCTCTGCCCGCACACCAAGTTCAGACAGCTGGGTAACGGATTTGGCAGAATGGAAGAGCAGGTGTGATTCCTGAAAAGACAGTTGGACTGAGGAGGAGTGAAAGTCCCCAAAAGGCATGAGATGAAGTGGTTATAAAGCAGAATCCACACAAAATTCCTCCTGGCCTCCTTCTCTCTTATCCCTCCCTGCCAACCCAGTAACCATTTTCCAGTTTCATCAACAGTCCTTGATATCAAAGATTTATAAACAGTTGAACAAGAGGCTCTTTATGAAGAAAGTGAGAATCTACTGAAAAATACCCTCCTCCTCCATGATTTTAGGAAAATCCCAGAAAATCTTGACTGGGTCAAAAGGTCTGCTGCATGGAGTATGGACCCAAATGGGGAGGGATGATTTGAAGAATGAGTGTTGTTCCTTTTGGTTTCTATGTAGAAAACACCGCCTATGGAGTCGTCCAGGGGACTACCAGTTGAAGGGGGATTCAGAGCATCTGCATGGGCAGAGTCCCAAGAGCCCACTGAGCCCATGCCTTTCCAGTCAGCCATTTAGTCACAAATATTTATTGGGGCCCTACTGAGCTGGAAGTTCTCTGGGGACACAGTGAGGCAGATGAAGCAGAATTACTGCCCTATAGGAGTGTTGAATCTGCTTGAGAAGGCAAAACTAGTATACGTGACCATAGACGCAAATACAATGAAATGTGTGCAGCAGGCTGAGTGCTAACAGATGTCAGAAAAGGGGGCGCCTAGCAGGGGCTTGGGTGAAGGTTAGAATTTGTACCTTTCCACACCACCTGGAAGCCTCTTGTATTTTCAAAGCTCCAGGAGTGTAAATTCCACACTTTTCCTGGGTGACCTCTACCAGTGTTTAATAAGTCCTTTCTTGAAGACTTCTTTGAGTCATACCGCCACCTTTGACTATGGAAAATGCTTGGCCTTCCTCGGCCCAAGGATGGTCAGCCTTTGCTTCCCCAGATGGCCCCCCAGTTCCGTTAGCTCCCTTCGTCAGGTGGAGGAAGGGTGAGGTTAGAGTGTTTGGTCCGGGTTCTCCTCTGTGGTGACTGAGGCACTGATCCTTCGGTTCCTCAGGGTCCAGGGTCCCTCTCCAGGACAGTTAGGCTGGCATGGATAAGAGGAGAGTCATCCTGGAGCATCTTCCTTTCCACACAGGACAGCTGGCCTGGCTGAAGGCTCAGCTCCAGGAAATGTGTCATCCGAGTCAAGATGCCCCCTGCTGCCCTTCCTGTCTCCTGAGCTGCATAGACACAGAGCATGCTGTGAGGGTACTGGGCACTGGATTGGATTTCCCAGAACCACTCCCACACACCAAGAAGCCTTCAAGAACTTTCTGACACAGAAGAATTGCAAACGTGCCCTTAGATTGACAGGAATTGGGCCAGGCCTTTGAGCCCCTGGATCTGAGAATCTTAGCCTCCTCCACCTGCTCTCAGAAAATCTCATCTTTTCCTCGCCAGATCTAACCATCATGGATCACTCACTTTAGGAGTGTTTAAACCTGGGCACCTGGCTGTCAGAGACTTTTAGCTGGGCTGCGCAGAGGGCGCAGAGGTTGTTTGGCCCCACGTCTGGGCCCTGCACGCCCGCTGTCTGCTGCTCATGTGGTTCCCACACCTGTGGTTAGCGTATGCCTTGCCATCCTCCAAAGAGCTCCTGAAGCTCTGGGATGGCATTGAGCTATAAGTACAGAGATGATTTTCCCATTTGGTTGACAAAGAAACCAAGGTCAAGAGTGATTAAACGGCTCAGGCTAGAATTTAGCTCTCCTACATCCAGAAGTCCCAGCACCAACTCTGACCCCACCCGGTGCTGAGGGTATCAGATGGGAACAAGCACTCCCCTCCCCGGCCTTGGGGCTACTTAAACTCAACTCACAGGTGCTCTTTCTCTGGAGCTTCCTCTGCAGTAGAAAAAGAGCCACAAGAGTAAGCGGGAGCAGCACGGTAGAGACTGGAGTCAGGATCCGAAAGACGTTTTTCCCTTCTGGAGAAGCGCTGGAATGGAAGTAGCAGGAGTGGGGATGGGAAGAGCACAAGAGAGGGGAGGTTAGAGCTGGGTAGGAGACTGCAGACCATTTGACCCTCACCCCTCATTTTACAGGCAAGAAGCTGAGGCCAAGGCAAGCTGGCTGCCCTCACTCCCACGGCGGGTTAGCAGAGCTGGGACTAGAGCCTCTGTCTTCAAGCTCCCAAGCCCCCAGTCCTTTTCCTGCTCCGCCATCTGTGTAGGGCCCCACCAGTGTGCCACACAGTGGGAAAGAGGACTGAGTGAGAGCCAGGGGATCTACCCCTGGCAATTGGCTCTGCCACAGTCCTTCCTCCTGGCTTCAGCAAGTCACTGCCGCTCTCTGGAGATTCTTTTCCTCATCTTTAAAAAAAGCCCCAAAGGTTTCACTGAGTATTCTGTTATTCTATTGTTTAGATTTTTGCTTGAAAATATTCAGATAGCATTCTCCTAGCAAGGACCCTTGGCTGAGGGAGGGTGTCTGATTTTGGTGTCCCTGGCCCTTGACTGTCTGCAGTTCCAGCAGCAGAGAAGCAAGCAGACAGAGGGGGCACAGCGGGCAGCTCACTGAGGCCGTGCCAGGCAAAGGGGCTGGGGGCAGCCCCAGCTGAGAGGAGGGCTGGGAGCTTACGTCTTCATGGAGGACTCCCTGCCCGGGGGCCTCAGGGGCCCTGCTCCCGCAGCCTGGATCGGGGTTGCTCGGGCACTACTGTCTCCAGCAGGCACGTCCAGGTCCCCTTCAGCGCTTCCCTCTGCAGACGCCATCTCTACGCTGGTGGGGTCCATGGTCCACACACCTGCAGCTGAGGTGAGCCATTCAACGGAGCCCGGGGCTTGTGGCTTAGAAACCGACGTTTCTTCTCGGAGGGTTTCCCACGCCCACTGTTTTGAGACGAGGGTTGATGGCCTAATGGTCCCTATGGCCTTCCCAGCTGCATCCAGGGCCGTTCTGAGCCTCTCCGTCTCCTCTCCCGGCAGGGCAGCCTCAGGAGTGGTGGTCTCCCTCCCTTCTTCATTGGCCCTAGCCCCATTTGCTACTGAGCTGCTGGTGCCCCACACCCAAACACCTTCTGTTGCAGTGGGCACACCCCCGATTGTTGAAGCTGGACTCTCTGGAATGGGGACTGTTGCCCTGACAGAGCCCTCCACCCGGCTGCCTGTCCCTGGAGCTGCTGCCCTAGTTGTTGCTGAGGTTTGCCTTCCCTTAGCTGAAGCTGCACTTTCGCGGGTTCCTGGAGTCAGAGCAGCTCTGTCCCATCCTGTCCCCTGTCTTGCTATAGTCTGGGTGGTTCCTGGGGTCCATCCGTTGGCTGCCACTGATGTTCTTCCAAAGGGTCCCCTGACGAGCTCACCAGCAGCTGGAGTGGCAGTGGGGCTGGTGCTGGCAGGACCTGTGTGAACAGCAGAAGGAGGCCACGTGGGAAGGCTATCCGGGCCGCCTAGAGGATCTGGCAAGGGAGGCCAGGCTTACAGTGTTTCCGCAAGGAATGCAGCCTCACTAAGCCACGCAGCCTTTGGCCAACATGTTGGATAAAATAAAAACGGGGAAACCAGATGGACTCTCTAGTCTTTGCAAATATTGACGTTTTATGTTCCTGTCTCGTTCTTCCACGCCCATATCTTGTCTATCCACTCCTCCAGGACCCCCTTGCTGTCCCTTTCCCAGAGGCCCACGGCCCTCCGCGTACTGCTCTTCAAACAGGACAAAAAGGAAAACCCCAGCTGCAGCGGAGCAGCAGCCTCAGCAGATGGTTAGACGGCAACATCTCACAGGACAGGTTCACGCAGGCCCCCGTGCCTGCCTGCTCCCTGACATGCCGTCCTTTCTGTGGTCTGCCCTCTCACAGCCTGGCAGCCCTTCCTCGGACCCTGGGCACCTGGTTCGGGATCACCTCTCCGCACCCTGCCACACAGACGAGGTAGCAGCCGGAGGTTCACTGAGGGCCTCCCTCTTAGGGAGACCCCCGTGCCAATTCTTCTGTTCTGCCCTCACCTGCTTTGCATGTCTGAACCAAGTCATGACCATAAGAAGCCACTTTATCCAGTTCACTCCCTTCTTAGCAGTCTCTCCAAACGTATATTCTACAACATTTCGGGGGGATTGGGTGGGAGAGCTGACGTGCATTCAGCTGAGAAGTTTGCCTAATGTCTACCTTCCTTCTGAAACGAACACCTATACTTCCTAATGTCCTCGCCTTCTCCTGGCTTTTCGTCATCATTGCCCCCGTGTTGGAAGCCCTCTTGGACCCCTGGGTCTTCTCTTGTACCTCTCCTTCCCAGCACCTGCTTCCCCAAGCCTGACCCCCCCCCCCCCCCCCCCACCGTCAGCTCCTACCTGCAGAGACAGTCAGGTTCATGCTGAAGAACACCATGTGGTTTCTGTTCCCGAGGCCACAGCGATATCGCCCCGCATCTTCAGGGGACAACTGGGACAGCCTCACTGCGAACAAGCCACGCTTCGGGAAGTCTGCTAGAGCCACGCGGCCATGGTAGCGAGGGTGAGTGTAGTTGTTGGTGGACACAACGGTGTGGCAGATCCACGTCAGGGGGTTCAGGCGGCACCAGTACTTCCTCTGGTGCTTATTGATGACCAAGGGGTCATAATGGCACTGGATGGTGACAGCTCCCCCCAGCTCACCAGACACCAGCCTCGGGCCCTTCAACGCACTTGCAGCTGCAAGCAGAGAAAAAAATGTCAAAGGAGAGGGAGGGTTGAGTATCGTCACTGTTTGGGGGGGTTACCAGCTCCAAACTCCACCAGAATTAGATCAGAAAATGCCTCTGTGAAAGTGAAGCTAAGAAAAATCAATGTAGAAATGTCAGCGCTTAGCCGCTGGGTCAGGAGTAGCCCTTGGGCACGGAAAGGAGCCGTGTCGAGAGATGGAAACGCGGTAGAAAATCTTCCCACTATTTCGCTGACGCTCATCACGTGCCAGCTGTTCTCCTACCGGTCCATGCAGAGCCTGGGTTCATTCCACCATGCTCTGCTGCAGAGGTTGAAAAGGCTGCCGTCTCAGCGCCTGTGAGAGGCTGAGGCAACGTCTGACAGAAGGGCTGCGGTTTGCGGGGCGTGTTAAAAGAGAGTCAGAACAGATCAGTGTACTTTCTGCGGAAAGGACAGGGTGTCCTAAAACTCAAGGATTCTGGTCTGCTTGGTGGGTACAGCCCCACATCAGTGGTTGCAAAAACGTTCACACTGTTCTACACGTTCTGTAGAAACGGGCAGAGCCAGCGCCGCCGTCAAAGGCGGGTGAGCAGCACTGCGAGTGCCTCCACTTTGGCCGTGCGCGTAAGTCGCAGCTGAACCACCATGCATGGCCTGGGTACTGATCGACTTAAATTTGATCGGGTGCAAGCAGGAACAAAGTTTGTTCTTTCTCTCACTACCTCCTCATACTTGTTCTGTGGGCTTTCTGCTCCTCTATGACATTTTAGGAGTAATTTTGGGTACAGTAGCTTTCACAGTCTCAGGCATTAAGAAAGAGCCCAGTCTAGTCTAAAATTATATGCCCGGTCCAGTCCAACAACTGGTTGCAGCTCCAATCCCTTATCCACCTGAAGGCTTTTCCTTTCTCCCAGCCACGCTTAGAGGCCTGCTGTGGGGGAGAGGGACATGTTGGGGTCTCTTGCTCTGCTCTACCCCTTCCTCTACTCAAAACTCTGCTGTTCCAGGCCCTTCCAGGGTTGGGTATGGAGGGCGAGAGGAGTGATCTGCTCTTGCTGCCCTCCAGGCATGGCAGATGTCCAGGGCTGCTTCCTTCTCTTTTACCTCCCAGATCTCCCTTCCATGGCCTCTGGCTGCAGGTCCCTCCTCGTAAGAACTGCCTCCTCCTGCTGCTGGCCTTGTGTGATTGACTCCTCCACCGCCACCAAGCCTGTTGCTTCTGGCCATCTGCCCTCTTTTGTGGGACAGTCTCCTCTGGGTGGCCCTCTTGGTGGAGGCCCCAGGCTTGCTCCTTTTTGTCCATCCCACATTTGGTCACAGGAAGCACACCTTTGTCCTGCTGTCAGAAGAAACCTGGGACATATGGCGAGCTTGTTGAGTGGCTGTCTAGAAGTTCCTTCTCTTACTAAGCTTACAGTGTGGGGAAGCGATCCCTCCCGTCCCCCAGGGCAGGTGGCGGAGAGCACAACACATGGATGTCTCTCTCCAAAACGGCTCACACAGTGAGCTCCTCCACCCTCCGAGGACTCTTCAGAAGGCCACATGGTGGGCGACTGCGGGAACGACCAGCTTTGCACTCTCTCGCCACAGTCCTGCACAGGTGGTTCAACAGCCTTCTTTAGGATGTGGGTGCCTGGCATCTATCAGTTTGTTCTATATCTCTAGGGCTTCTGAACCCAAGAAAGCTCAGTTTAATGTCCTGTTGCCAGGACCAGCTACGTAATTTGTGGGGCCCAGTGCAAAATGAAAATGCAGGATCGCTTGTTCAAAAGTTATGAAGGATTTTACTACGACAATAGCAGAGCATTAAACCAACCAGTCATCTTGGTTTAAACCAAGCACACGGGCCCTATATGACCTCACAAGGCACATGCCCATGAAGCTGGCCCTGCCTGCTGCATATGTCTTGAGGTCTAATTATAGGAAGAGTCGAGGCCATAAATGCTATGGGTGTATCAATACTCACTGTGGGTTTAATTAAACAACACACCACCAACTACACTACCATTGATAAAGTTAAATGGTCATCTATCAGTAAAAGGCAAGAATAGTCCTGATTACAAGGTCTATCTCAGGAAAACAGTGATGTGCCCTGATCAAATTCTCATACCCTGGATTTTAGGAATTCTCGCGATCGACATGTGGCCTGTGCGAGAGTTGCTCTGCCTCAGAGCAACCGTTTGTCAGCAGGATGGGACCATCCAACTTCACAGTCAAAAGCTGATTAAGGATCCTTAATCAACTCTGGCAGTGCACATCTCTTTCTTTTACTGATACCAAATTTTACTCACCCTTAAGAACTCATTTGGGGGATTACTTATCAGTAGCTGTTACTTATATATAATTAAGGTTCTTAGAACTTTTTCTTAGTCACTTGTGAGAATTCAAGAAAGGGCTAGCCTCTTAGAGTCAATGTGGTGCCCAGCTGGGGCCCCTCATGCAAATTCTCTGCCCCTCAGGGGAGGCGGTACCCCTGCTCCCTTCACCGTCCTTACTCGGCAGGCGATGTCCAGGCTCCACTTCCCTTGGGGAGGGGCGGGTGAGGCCTGCAGTTGGGGAGGGGCCTGCAGACTGGAGCCTGACTTGGTCTGAGAAAGTGCAAGAGGTCTGTAGCAGGACAGAGTCGGGGGAGGGTTGCACCTGCGATGGATCTCGCCTCCCGCCAGCACAGGGGTGAGGAAGGTATGAGTGTTTCCTTGGCCCAGAGGTGGGACCTGGAGGGGAGAGAGCCAACCCACAGCCATCTGAGGTGGGGTCTTCTGTGTGGAGGGGCCAAAGCAGAACCTGGGACAAAGGGAGGAGATGGCTGTCAGGGGAACACCTAAGGGTCCACAGAGGCGCCACAGAGGACGAGGTAAAGAGCCAGCTCTAAGCACCTGCCAGGCTGGGAGCTGCAAGCCACCCCTCAGACGAGAGCGGCCTGCTCCCCACCTCTCCTCCCTCCTGCCTGTGACCTGCTGGGGTCCAGGTGCAAGATCCTAGCCAGGGAGGAGAAGGCGGAGGGAGGAGAGGAGGCTCCCACCACACCCGCCTCCCTGGGCCAGTGAGGGAATGAACGAAGATTAAAGTGCTGACCAAAATATTTAACTGGACACTTAAAATTACCAAATTTAGGGTGTTTGAGACTTAAAGGAATTGAGGACTATTACCTGCACGTTAGCAGAGAAATCATGGGCCCTGAGTTTTCACCAGGGGCAGGCCTACTCCTACGGAAAAATTGTAAAGGGGGCAGTGTGGTGTAATTATATCACAGGGAGTTCTTGCTTAAATCTTAGCCACTTTTAATTCGTTTAAATTCTGGTTTGTTTATAAAGCCAAACATAGTCGTTAATCCTTTGGTATTTTCATAACATTTTCGTTCGTTCATTAATTCATTCAACAATTATTTGTTAAGCATCTACTTGGGACTAAGTTCTAGGTGCCAGACACTCTAGGTGCCACTTACTACATTCCTCAATGGCTCCCCATACCATCAAAATGAACTCCAGACACCACAGCATGGAGCAGGGCCACTTGTCATCCAGCCTGACCCGCACCTGGCCAGCCTCCCCACACCAGCGGCCATTTGTCATCCAGCTTGACCTGCACCTGGCCAGCCTCCCCACACCAGCGGCCAGGACCTGCAGGGCTGGGAGTCTGCCGTTCAGCCATCTCCTGGGCCTGGCACAGGGTGGGCCCTTCATAAATGTGTGTTGACTAAATAAGTAGATGCATAGATATGATTTTTCTTTACCCATCTAGTTTCTCTGTGGACTCTGAGCTCGTCAGAGTAGGGCAGGGCCTTCATCTTTAGGTCCCTAGGACCGGCCCTTGACCGACACTTGAGTGCTTTCAGGATGAGTGGTAATGCAGCAATGTTCCTTCTACCTCTTGCGAGCCCTGGAACCATTATCTTGCAAATGCAACCAACTTTCAGTCATTAACTCAAATGGAAGAGAGCAGAGACAGAGGGGATATCAAAAGAGCGAATGTTCTAGAAATCATCAGGTCAAGTATATGCCCTCTCAAGTGAGCTCTCACCTCCCTCCTTCCCCCTGGGCCTAATCTGATGCCTGGCCTTGGATCCCGGGAGAGAAAGCCCTGGATCTGCCCAAACTGAGGAGCCCGCCAGCAGCCTCTGCAGCCTGGAAGGCACGGGTCTGGTCTTACCAACTCTGAATCTGGGCTGTGTCCGGGACTCACCTTGCAGGAGGCACAGCACAAGGAGGACAGGCATTTTCCATCCTGCCTTCTGGTTGGTGACCTGCAAAAAAACACTGTAAATGAACAGGCCTGAGAGCCGGCAAGCGAGCGGCTGGGCGAGCAGCAGTGGGACCCGGGGCAAGTACCTTCCTGCTTTGGGATCTCAGTTGGCTCAGCACTGGGGCTGGATTAACTCTATCTGGGAGCAGACAGGAGCTGCCTCTCGGAGAGAAGCAGGATGCCATTCTCATGCTCCTGAGCAGGCACATTTGGCTGGGGTCACCACCACCACCAAGGCGAAAATTCCCCTACCCGTGAGGTTTCTGTGTTCAGAAGAGATGACACTCCCTCTGTAGGATTCCAGCCCCTGCACCCACGAGCCAGTGTGGAGCTCTGAATTTCGGGGAGCGGTGTGTAGTGGGAAAGACCATGTGCTGGTTTAACCTTGGCTGGAACTGTGGGGCTTTGGGAAGCTCCCTCAGCCCTGGGACCAGCCTTCTCTCCAGGGGTTGTAGTAGCACTTCCACGAGACGGTGTTGAAGTGCCCACAGGGGGCCTGGCACAGGGCGGCTCCCTTCCGCTCCTCTCCTCACCACTTCCTTTTTGCAGAAGGAAAATGGCTCCTTTGCGGGAAACTTGCTGTTCACTGGTAGTGTGCCTCTGGTCACCAACAAGGGGTGAAAAATGAACTCTCAGGCCAAGTAGCTGTCTGCTTGAGGGTCCCATTATGCTTCTTCTCCACGACTTCTCGAAAGCCTGCCCTGCCCGCCGTCTCTGCCCATCTCCCCTGCTTTGGGCTCGCCCACAGGCCTAGGGACCTCCTGGAGGGACCGTGTGTTTCGTCGCTCGCCTCCAGGCTCTGAATCAGGGTCCAGCACAGGGTTGGCGCACAATGCACAGCCGTTGTGAACAGAACTAACCTCTCTTTTAATTGGCACCATGCTGATCGCTGTGCAGTGGTCCTTACTGCTTGCTGATTAAAGACAGATTGTATGTTATACTCCTTTTGTGTTCCCCACAGGGTTTTCATGGATGTTTTTGGTTGATTAAAAATCTGTTCCTTGAATCTATCTACTACCTGCAGTTCCTGGAACCTGTAGTTTGGTTTTTTTTTAAAAGCAAACTGAAGATAGCCGTGTTTTCTCCTTCCTCCTCAAACACACGCCTCACTAACGGTCAGAACAGGTGCTGCCAGTCACTGGTCTGGCCATGGGCAGGGCAGCTGCCCCCACCCCTGCCCAGCTAGACTGAGCCACACCAGGCGAGAGGAGAAGTGGGAATGTGGGGAAAGCAGGCAGAGCCAGCAGGAGAAGGGGAGAGGGAAGGTGAGGAGGAGGCGAAAGAAGGGAGAGGAGAGGAGAGAAGGAGAGAGAAGCAGAGTCCACCGGCCGTCCCCCCAGCCTGGCTCTGCCCAGCCGCCTCTGCCAAAGCCTCTGCCTGCTCCACCCAGGGAGAGCCCGAGAGTGGTCAGACTTGGAAAAGTCCAGGGGCTCCTCGTGCCTCCTTCAGTGCCCTCCCTCAGGGCCTCCATGTCTCGGGAACGGCCACAGCAGCCTGCGGCCTCCAGAGCCGCTGGCTCCCTGCCCCCACCTGGAGGCTCGCCCAGGGGTGCCTGCACCCAGTCCATTGTTTGAGTAACAGTCACTGAGTCCAGGCTCATTCTGACACTGGCGCCTTGGTTCCCCGGAGCTAGTTTTTCATAAGCACTAAGTACTGACGGCAGCACGTGTTGGGGCCAAAGTCTCTGTGCCAAGCAGCCCAGTTCCTCTGAAACCCAGAGGTGCAGCAATCTCCCCGAGGGGCAATGAGGAAGCACGGAGCGTGGGATAAAATGTCCCAGGGAGTTATCAGCCTTGATTGAAGGCTGCAGGGATAACGTTCAACGGATGTCTCCAAGTCTCCCGCCCTGCCAGTGACCTTCAGAAAGCCTTTCCCCTGGAGACAAGGAGCACCAACCCAGGAGCCTGGGGCTACTGTTAGAGTGCACAGCATTTTAGGGGATCAGGGTCACATTGGGGAACTCCTGTCCCCTGGTCCTGCTGCGAAGGGCATCTGCCTCATTTTCAGCACAGGCTGGGCTATGACTCGCCAAATGCCGCCACCCTGAGCCCCACTTCTCCCCACCCCCCACCCCCGGACAGCAGACAAGAAAGGAAGGAGCCAGTGTGGGGTAGAGGGAAGAGCAGAGACCCAGGATTCAGGGGGCTCCACTTTGCCTGTGGCAGACACAGTGACCTTGAGCCCCGCGCCTTTCCTCCCCACCACAGCGGAGGAGCATTGACTGCACTGGCTCCATGTTTCCTCCTCTTTCCAACGTGTGTCGGTTCTAAATTACTCAGGGCCTCTATGGAATCAGGCACTCTGGGCAGGGAGAGGGAGGCTGAGCAGAAGGTATTGGGGAGGAGGGAGATGCTGTGGCCTGAGCTCCGGAGTCCTTCCCTGGCCTCCTGGGAGCGAGCCCAGCCTGCTCTGGGAAGGGCACTTGAGTGAACACTTGACAGCAGCTGCTGCCACTCATCACCCGCATTCAGAGAGAAGACCCCACCCTCCAGGGAGAAAGCCTCAGCTCACCTGTCCTTCTCCAGGCTCTGCTGGGGCTCCTCCATCCATCTTGGTCCAGAAACAAAGTCCTCTGGGACTTTTCTTCTTCTCTCTTTGAGATGCTGGTGTTTGGACGTTTTCTAGTTTCTCTTACTTAAACCCTGAGACTGAGAGGCAAGACTGGTGAGTTGGAGAGCAGCTGGAGTTAACAGTAGAGATCCAAGTGTATGGTGCAGCTTAGCCACAGACCCTTCCACAGCTAGCATCAAGTCACTTCACCCTGGGCCTTGGTTTTTATTTCTTATAAGAGGGCACCAGTCCTGGTTCCTGTCATTCTTACTGCTGCTTATTCCTGCAGAAATTTTCCAGGGCTGGTGTCAGGGGACACACACATCCGCACCCTCCCACCTCTCATTTCCCCTCCACTCCGGGGTCCAGACTCTTCAGTATGCCCCCTCTTTGCCAGCCCATTAGGGCCTCTTCTGGATAAGTGATGCAACAACTTGGGCAGGAGAGAAAATTCAGGAGAGGAATTCCCCTGCTGTCTAGCCAGCAGCTGGTGCCTTCTCTAGCTGACCTGGCCCTTCAACTCCCATGGAGAGGCAACTGGGTCACTGACTGCAGTTCAGCTGCATGCCTGGGGGTTATGAATCCATGCCCTGGACGAAGCACAGGACAGTAGATGGGACAGTCTCCATGGAAAGAGATCACTGACAAGTATGGCTTATCCAGACGCATGACACACTTCAAAAATACCCCACTATTTCCCTTTGGAAAATCTTTCATGTGTGGGTTCCTTTCCTTATAAGAGATGTGATGTGCCCACCTCTGTTGCGTTTGAACTGACATTAAGACGGCCGGCACAGCCCAAGCGCTCACCCATGAGGGGCTGCCGGGCCGGAGGTGCTGCAGGCAGAGCTAAGGACTCTCACCAGGAGCCCTGACAACAGCGTAGCACCCTTGCACCAGTTAGAAAGGGAGCTTCTTCCTTAAGAAAAATGAATTCACTTGGTCTATTGTGCATGATGCGAATAACGATAGGTGGCAGGTTGCATTCTCTATGCGGTCCCTCTTCCAGGTTTGAAGATGGGTTGGGGACAGGAGTTGAGTCTCTGAGAGCAAGAGGAAAGGAAAGGAAACAATTCCATGGGACCTCTGGAGTGTAGTTGGGACAAGGCATCTTGTGCATGTGTGTGTTCCAGTGCTTGTGTGCACAGCTGTGTGTGACCAGGACTTGGTCAGGAACTCCAATCCTGGAGCTCCAGAGCTTCACAACACCTGTAGCCTCTCATATCAGTTAGAACATCTACAATGTGAATGACATCCCATTAACTGTGGCATGCTTGAGCAGCACACAACCTGAAGAACTGTACGTGGTGGCCCTGCTTTCAGAGGCTTATCCCCCAAATTGAGCCAACTCTGTGCAGGTGGTAGAGAGGTGATTAATGCTTGGCTAGATTCTCCCCTCCCAGCTCCTCAGGAGCAGTATAGCATCACGGTTGGTCACATAGACTTTGGAGTCAGACTCCCTCCAAGTTAATATCCCAGCCCTAGTTTTTCCTCGGAAAATGATACAGGTCAGATTACTTATCTGCTTTAAACCTTGTTTTCCTAATCTGCAAAAGAAGAGATAATAGCATCTACCTCATAAAGTTATGATGTGGACTAAGTGTAATAATTCATGTAGCTCAAAGCGCCTAGCAGGCAGTAAGTTCTCAGTAATCACTAGCTGATAATATTAACAGCTTAGCTGACAGCAACAGGGAGCACACTCTCAAATGATCGAACTCTGAAAACAAAGTCCTTTTTGAAAGTTTTCATCTATTCAGAGGTCTTTTTCTTTTCTTTCTGACATTTGAAAGGTGAAAAAGAAATCAATTTGTCTAAGGACATATTTGGATTGATTGTGTATTTTAAAATAAATATTCGTCAAATTTTCATTATTTTATAAATAATGCAGTCAGTTTACACCCCTAAGGGTATCTTCTTCTGTCTACTTTTGAACAGTTTGAAGTTTTTTCCATACTAAAGACATAAATGGCAGTAAAGTTCAGTTAGTTGCAAAGCCCTGGGCCACCTTCAGAGCGCTGACCCAGAGCCACGATGGGCCCTCTCTGAGGTTTGTGAGGGAGAAACTTCTGTGCGGGCCACTCTTTCAGGAGCGTAACTGGATCCTCTCGCCCAGCACAAAGCCACAGGAGCCTCTTTATGTAGGTTCACGGCACCGTGACCTTCTGACTTCAGGTTCCAGACTCCAGAAAAAAGCGAAATAGTACTTAGCAAACGTGAGATCTGGGAAGAGCTTTATCCACTCCCTGCACCCACCTCCAATCCCCCAATCTCAATTTTAGCGAAGGATTTTATTTTCTGAATAGACACACAGAGTAAAAATCAGCAAACGGAAAGGTACGTAAGGCAAGGAAAGCCACTTGTGCTATAGCACAATCTCTGCCCTCTCCACACACGTTTTCTAATGAATAATTGAGAGCCATGTGCAGAGATGTCTTATCTATCCACGTGACTGATAGTCAAGGCTTGCATTCCTCCTTACACATTGCTGCTAAGTTTTAGCTGTTTTTACCCTCGTTATACGCAGAAGAGACACCCCCCTCCTCCCCAATCCAGCATGCTGCACACGGAAAAAACATTGCTTCAGAACACTTGGATTACCACAGACCTGATCACTTACTTAGAAACTCATAAAGGGAGGTGAACCATGAGAATTGTCACTCTTCCAAACGATAACAGAAAAAGTATTTGTAAAGCACAAGTAATCGTTTTATAACGGCTTTCGCAGGCTTTTACAACCTCAATAATCATTTGGCAGATAGCGAAGATTGCGGTCCAGCAACACTCACGGCCCTCCAAACACAGAAGGCATTCAAAGCGGTCGGGAGGGTGCAGAGATGCTCTAGGCTTGTGCACAGAATGCTGGGAAAAGCACAGAGCCTGGGAGATCGTTTCACAGATCATAGGAGCGTGTGGCCTAAGACCTCAGCTGCAACCCATCTGAGGATATTGGAGATCGCTGCAGGAAATCATGATTAACAGCTCCCAGCACAACCTTCCTGGACTGACTTGTGTACGGGAGCAAAATTTGCCACCCCAAAATGTGTCTCTTTGGCACAAGGATTATTTTAGGCTGATTATTTTTAAGAACCAGAAGACTTGGGAAGTTTTTCCTTTTTCCTCCCCTTTAACTGCCTAAAAGAATTTAGATGGAGGGCCTCTAGCAGGAAGAGAGCCATCACCAGAGACAACTGCAAAGAACATGAGTGACATGTGGTGGAGGGGTGGGGGTGGGGGCTCTTACAAGGCCTGTTTGTTCAAAGTCCTCTCTGTGTCCCATTGTCCCTGCACGGCATGGCAAACATTTGTTTACCAAACATCTGCTCTTCCCATCTTCCTGCGAATTGTCTTCCTTCCCTTTGAAGTCCCAGACCACTACCCCTTTGTTACTGGTTGGGATTATTTGATTATGATGCTATTTGGAATAGACATTATCCCGTGACAATGAATCACTGGCCATTCCAGGGTGGAAAGGGCTCAAAATAATTAATCTGCCTCCAAGGAGGCAGTTGGTCTCCTTGAGGAATGTGCTAGATGGGGGACTTGGTGTCCAGCTCTTTGCTGGCAGGTTGGATGTTCGTTAGCAACAGTGTTAAACTCATCCTTACTTAGTGGGAGCCTTTGCTGTTTGTGGGAGCCCAGGCATAGCCCCATTCCTCTGACTGTGGCTACTTCCTTTGTGGGTTCATTGTGCCAGCACCATGTGGCCAATACCTAGAGGTGGCTGATGTCAGATGGCCAAGTCATTCTGTCTTCTTGGTAAATTAGTTTTTTTTCCATGTAGATACTCTCTGGTGGGCATTAGCTTATGATACAAAGAGCTTCAGTCTTCATGCTTCTCCCATGTCCATCCACGTGTCTCTAACCAACCTTTCAATCTTTCTCTATCCAGACCTGTGTGTATTCTAACAGCAGGCCATTTTTCCTTTCGCACGAAGTAGATGACCAGGTGCCCTGCCCAAAGTTCTGCCTAGTGGGAGGACTTTCTCTTGCCACTGTTTTTTGAGGCCACTCCTTGTAATATACCTACTGTTCACTTCCAACTTGAACCCATGTCTTGAACCAACTCATCTACAAATGAAGCTTGGGTTTTCTGGTCCCCTGCCATGCAGTTACACAGAATCCTCCTATGTGGCCCCTTGTGAGCAGAGGGAGGGGCACTGTTGCAGCCATTCTAGCTGATATGAGGGGCTGTGCTACTTGCTCACGTGGCTTGCTTGTACCCTCAAGTCCTTGCTGTGCTGGGTCCCAGCCGTGGCATTTCCAATCAATGATGAATTGCTGCTGGCCTGCCTGCTCTTATGACTTAGTGGGTGTAATCGCTCTCAGCTCACGATGAGCAGTTCCAGATGCACCCTGGAACTGGTGTCCTGGGTTCAGGTATTACACCTCTACCAAGGCCCAGTATCATGTCAGGAGTTGTTTTTTAAAAGACACACGATTCTCCCTTGCAGATGACATGGCCTGGCAAAATATCCACAGGGGACCTTGTGACTAGGCTACGATTGTCCCACTGTGGCTTGTCAGAAGTTCCACATGGCATCTTTTCCCAACACCTCTACCTCTAATATTAAGTGGCAGGGTTGCTTACATCTCAGCCTGGACCTGCTGCAGAGCCCTTTTCTGCTCTGGGCCCCATTCAAAGGTAGAAGCATTTTATGCCACTTGGTGTGTGGGCTAGAGCAGTATTTCCAAGTGTGGAATATGCTGGTCCAGAGCCAAAGAGGCCTATCTGCTATGTTGCTTCCTTCATTGTGGTGGCAGGTGCAAGATGTAACATCTTGTCTTTCACCTGGGGAGAGATTTCTTGGCAGGCCCCTGATCATTCGACCCCTAAAAATATTGTTGATGTGGCAGTTCCCTGAGTCTTCAAAGGTTTACCTCCTACCCTCTGAGGCATGTGTGTCTTACTAAGGCTTCCAACATGCTAGCCACTTCCTGCTCACATGGCCTGATTAGCATAATGTCATGAATAAATAATGGATTGACATGACATTCTTCAGGATGTCCAGATGGTACAGATGCCTTCGGACTATGTTATAACAGAGAGCAGGGGAGTTAACACAGCCTTGAGACAATAATGTAAATATATGTTGTT